CAAGGTTATTGATCATAGGATAATCCTACGTAATTCATGGATCTTGACACATAACATGGTTCCAGCCTGCACAGCTGTTTCCAAGCTATACAAATATAGATGCGAAAATCTTTAGCATGACAGATAGAATATGACTTCCATAGAGAATTAATGAGCTTATTTGGTAAAGTTATGACAATGACTTTTTCTAAAAAAAAAAAAAATCAACAATAGTCCATGTAATTTATGCATTTCTTAACATTTTCTTTTGTGTTTAGATTCTATCCTTGGAACTCTTGACTTAATTATAGTAGCATGTTGCTATGGCATCCAGGAGCCTGGGGTTATACATTATATTATATTTTTATTCTTCATAGATTTTGTTCTTAAACTTGTTCTGGAAAAAAATAAAGATTTCAAGTTTTCTACATGGTGGTTTGCTATTTCTCATTTCAAATGTCTTCATACTTATTCTTAAATAGGCACCACAGCTATCAGGCATCATTGCCACTAAACAGTTATCAATTAAATTTTGTAAGCAAATCAAAGCAATTTTAATCCAGCATGCATTCAGCCCTTAATATAGCACTTTTATGATATTCTTTTAATTTTGCATAATTGTTGTTGCTCTGAATTTGTACCACAGTCAAGTCTTCAGGATTGGGGCAGGTTATAACTATTGGAAAAGAAAATAAATAAGTGATAATCAGAGACAATGGAATTGGCTGCAAATTGTACTGATGAGCTCAAACATTCAACAGGGTTAACATATTCTGCTAATTAATTGTAGCTTGTCAGTTTACTTAACAAAGTGTACATTTTGTACAAACTAAGCAACTATGGTTTGTTTAACAATAACTTTTTAAAAATGTTATATATACCCCTCACATTTCTTTCCTGCCCCACCTTTCCACACAAGCACACAGAAAGACCTATGTACTGCATATACTCTGGATGTCACACACAAAAAGGTTCCTTAGTGTAGTTAAGGCAAAATTGTACAGTGTAAACAGGAAGCATTTGACATTTTTCAAAGAAAAACCAATAATTTTTCAGAGTAAAACCACACTTAGAAGTGAGAAACTTTACATTTAAGTTGTCATCAGTACTGTTTTTATTTTTAAAAACACCACTTAGCATGCAGCTGATAAAATTTTTAAAAAGTTGTTAAACCAATCACTGTATTTTCAAGGTTTAAGTTGTAATAGCTCTAGATAGATGGATTCCAGTCCTATCCAGCATTTAGCATGGATCTAACATCAGAGAATGGGGTTTATCCTTCAGCATGAAATGTCTTGAGGATGTTTTAAAAAAATCCAGAGACTACCAATCCAGCTAGTTCGGTAATTTTCTTGTTAACTTCTATCAAATTTGGGTGTGTGTGGGTGTGGGTGTGTGGGTGTATACAAAATACAAAAGGAACATCACAATGTCATCTCATGGTTTACAATAATTCCTATGTGTCTCTGGAAATTCTCAATCATCCAGGTCATCTTACTTTGGATAATCAATTAAAATGGTTATTTTCATAGGCAAGGTATTGTATACATGGGCTGCCATTTGTCAGAAATGGTATAGGGTCTCCTGCTTGGGCGGGGGGTTGGACTAGATGACCTACAAGCTCCCTTCCAACTCTGTTCATCTGTTAATAAATACATACTGAAATCCTGTGCTTAAATTGCAGACTGGGATTTACTTCCGAGTGGCTATGTTACCAGGATGAGCAACTTTTTTTAGGCTCAGGCCTAATTAATACTTAAATCGAAAGCCCTAGGCAGTGCCAGAGTTTGTTACACTAAAAAATAAAAGAAACATTCCAGAAGAAACCTATGGCAAACCATTTGCTCTTCCCCCCAACCACCAAAACTGCACGGGCCTATCTAGGAAGTCATCAGGAAATCATCAGGAGTTGAGTTCGACCCAAACAATTCTTTACCTTTCAACAGGCCACAGGATACCATATTTGCTAATGTGTGGTGATAGATTATACCTACCAATTCTGACACTTTCGACTTTTATCAGCTGAAATGAGTGTTTCTTAAACATATGTTGGGTTGTGTATTTATGAACATCTATTTCTCACAGAAATGGGATTCTGCCTCTAACACACAAGAAGTCAAATCCTATAGAGCCATTTGGAGACAATACTTGATGTTATTATATCAAATATCTGCAAAAGGGTTCCTATAACAAAGACCAATACAATGAGGAGGGATTACATGAACATTTTGTGTAAAGGAATATGAATGTATGATGTGTAAATAAAGAATGCAACACAGGTACAAGAATGGCGAAAGTGCATTTTTGTGAGAAATCTGACGTATTTTGGAATTACTGGAACTATGGAGGGTGGGTGTGGCTGTTCCACACTGGGCTGACCTCAGACTGGGATGAAGGTTCACTTACCAACATGACAACGATCCTAAACACACAGCCAAGACAACACAGAAGCTTAGTTGACAAGTCTATGAGTGTCCTACAGTGTCGCAGCCAGAGCCCTGACTTGAAGCCTATTGAACATCTCTGGAGGGACCTGAAAATAGCTATCTACCAACAGTTGCCATCCAACCTGACTCAGCTTGAGAGGATTTGCAAGGAAGAATGGCAGAAAAATCCCCCAGTCCAGGTGTGCAAGGCCTGTCGCCTCATACTCCAAAACACTCAAGACTGATTGCCACCAAAGGTGCTTCCACAAAGTACTGAGTGGAGGGTTTGAATACTTATGCCAATGCGATATTTGAGGGTTTTTTTTCCTTTTTAATAAATTTACATACATTTCTAAACTTCTGTTTTCACTTTGTCATTATGGGGTACCAAGTGCAGATTAATGAGGAAAAAAATGAAGTTCCAAAACTGTAGAATCAGGCTGCAACCTATCAAAATTGACAAAAGTGAAAGGGGGTCTGAATACTTTCTGAATGTACTATACAGTGTAAGACAGCATATGTGTGTGTGTGTGTGTGTGTAGGTCTAGGTGTGTTCAGGTCTTTTCCCGTGTAAGATTTAAGAGTATCTTGGTGACGTTTCGGCGAGGTCCCACTTGCCATCCTCGCCGAAACGTCGCCAAGATACTCTTAATCTTACACGGGAAAGACCCGAACACACCTAGACCTACATACCTGTACCCGTGAAATAAGGCTTTTTTTGTCTTGATTGGCTGGCAACATTGTGTTCCTGTATTGGAGGCTTTTAGTGCAGCTTGGCTCCGAGTAAATGGATGGCTATCATTTATTAGGTAGCTAGGTTTCATCTGGGTGCCTGGTTGGGGTGTGTTTAAGCTGGAGGTATCAGGGGGGATCTGTTTGTGCCCAGGTGTTTGCCTGGCTTGTGGTGTGGAGATTTGTTTGTTTGTGAGTGCAGGCTTCCAAACAATTGACAGTCTGGTGGAATCAACTCTTCTATTCATGCTTTCAGGTCTTTTTTCAATCTCTATGGCTTCTCTGATAATTCTGCGGCTGAGGTTTTCTATAGTGGCTAGGGTTTTGGTGCCATTGAAGTCGATGTTATGACCTGTTGCTTTTATTTTTTATATATACACACACACACACACACACACACACTTGCATATGCATACACATATGTATTTATTGGTCAATCATTAAGACACTCCATGACCGCATTGATTATAGCATGCCAGTCCCCCCTTCCCCTAATGTATCCCTAAATTTGCCCAAACCCATATTCACTGTTTCAATGACACACTCTAACCATCCCATCCTCTGCCTTCTCCTTTTCCTTTCAGTCTTTCCCAACATCAGTCTTTTCCAATGAATCCTCATTTGGTAGCCAAAGTACCGTACTTGCGCTTCAGCTTCAGTATCTGTGCTTCCAAAGAAACATGTATACACACATACAGATAGCAGATAATCAGAGTTGGAAGGGACCTTGTTGGTCATCTAGTCCAACCCCCCCCCCCACCCAAGCGGGAGACCCTACTCCATTTCTGACAAATAGCAGTCCCATCTCTTCTTGAAAGTCTCAAGTGGTGGCCCTCCCACAACTTCTGAGGGCAAGGTGTTCCATTGGTTGATATTCATACATACATACATATACACACAAAGTAGACACACACATACGTAGTCATACATACAAAGTAGACACACATGCATATCCATCCATCCACACACAAAGTAAACACACACATGCATATTCAGACACATATTCATATTCATACATACACATACATACACATATTCATATTCATACATACACAAGACATACATATTTATACATATTCATACACACATGCACACACACAAAGCAGCAGACATATTTATAAAACACATGCACATCCAAATATTTACCTAACCATACCCTATATAAGGACTGGCAGTGACTGGAAGCCACTCGGGAGAAAGTAGATGAAGAAAACAGGAGCTAAATACAGGGGAATAGATGGATAGGGTCAGTGATATAAGAAAGGCATGTTGAATTGGTTAAGTACATAATGTTATTATTATTGATACCACTATAATTAACATCAATGTAATGAATATTGTTGTAAACATCTTTGATTATTATACCCTAAAAATGTTTGTGTATCCAGTCCACACACTGTTCGACTGAAATTGGAATTTTTATATGCTAAAAAAATAAAAAACTTGGAACAAAAAAAAAAAAGAAAGTAGATAGGTACCCTAATGAAGCTATCTATCCACGTGCGCGCACGCGAGCTACAAATCCCGAGCCGCGCACACCCAATTCCACCCAGAGTGGCAGAGAAGGCGATGCGGGCCCCGCCACCTGGCTAAAGGAGGGGCGGCGGCGGCGGCGGCGGCGGCACTGCTGCTTTCCCGCTCCCTCTTGGCCCTTCCAGGCAGCCCCCCCTTCGAGAGGCACCGCTGACCGCGGGCGGGTCCTTTCCGCCCTCCTCCGGGAGCCCCCCAGCAGCAGCAGCAGCAGCAGCGTCTCCGCCGCCGCCCCGCCCTGCTCAGACTGCCGGCCCGAGCGCGTCCGGCGGGCGAAGTCAAGCGGCGTCTCTCCTCCGCCCGCTCTCGCGAGATCGGGCAAGGTTTCCGGTGTTGTGACTGCGGGACCGTAAACATGGCGGTGAGTCTCCGCGCCCGCTCGCTGAGGCACCTCCGCATCCGAGGTGAGGAGAACCTGGGCTAGGCCCAGACCGTGGCTGGCGGGCGGGCGGGGAAGGGGAAACGAAGCGAAGACGGCGCTGTCTCCGAGCTCTCCGTCCTCTCTCTTGCCTCAGCCCCGCTGCTCGGCGGTTCCCGGTGCGGCTTCCATCACTAACTGAAGCTCCTGCTCTTGTCTCTCCTTTCTCTCCCCCCCCCCCCCCCCCCCCCCCCCACCCCCCCCCCCCGGGCCCCCCCCCCCCCCCCCCCCCCCCCTTTTCCAGGCCGGAACGACAGCGGCGAGGAGAACGTCCCCCTCGATCTCACCCGAGGTAACGGAAGGCCTGCCGAAAGCCAAGCCAAGCCGGGCCGGGAACAATCAACCCCCCCTCCCCCGCCGCCTCCTCCTCCTCTTGGGTTGCCGGCTCCCATTTTCAGAATGGGAGTGAATGGAATCTGGGTCTTGAGGGTGTGGAGGCTCGTCGGGCGAGTCCTCCGTGGGGAGAAGTGGGAGGGTCGCCTAAAGAGCACTGGGCAGCCGCTCCTCCCTTTCTCGAAGCGTCTCCCTTCGGAGATGGAAAGGTTGCCAATACACAACCGCCTCCTCTCTTACTTAAATCTTAAGCTTGTTTATTAGGATGGTTGGACAAGTCCCCCCCCCCCCCCCACCGCTCCTCCTCCTCCCTCCCTTATTTAAAACTAAGCTTGGTCGGAGTGGTTCACTTCCCTGTGAGTAATATTTCATTCAGCCTGGTTGCGGTGTCTGAAGCGGACTTGTGGAGTGAATTAGTTCCTCAATGGGAAGCCCGGCCTTCTTCCCATTACTGGTCTGAGCAAATTTGCAAGACGGTTGGCTCTGAAGAAATAAGCCTTCTCGTACACTCTGGGTGTGGGTGTGTGTTTGTGTCTTACCACCACGGGTTGCAATGGCGTTTTTTTTTTTTTTAAACCCTGCTTAAAATAAGTTGGTATTTGTTGGGCCTCTTGAAAAGGGAGGGAATGTGAAGGTTGGGTTGAAAGAATGAAAGGCAAACAGGTCTCTTTTTTTAAAAAAAATCTACCATGAAAATAGTGACAGTCATGGTGTTTTATGGCAGGGCTATATATGCTAGGGATGCTTCACTCTGGTGGGTTGCTTGCTGAGATAGTCTTGATGTGGGAGGGGGGAAGCATGAGGACAACAAGTAGCTATTGACAATTACTGTATTGCTATTCTCTCCATCCTAGATTGTTTGTGCAACTTAATCTATTTCAGGTTCATTATTTAATCTCAGCTTGCTGTTGATGGCTATTAGCAGCCCTTAAAGCACGTTTGAGTGCTTATGCTAGCACTATATAAATCTCAATGGTCTTTCTGAAGGCTTTCTGCCCCCCTCCTACACTCAGCTTGCAAATTGATTTGGTGAGTCAGTCTACTTGGAAATAGGCCTCTTTTGCGCTTAAGCTTGTTGATAAGCTATAAAAGCTTCCCTAACTGACAGTCTCCATAGATAGGCAAAAACTGTGTTCTACCATGATTAGATGTGGATATTAAGGCAAGGTGGCAGCTGGAAGTATCATCATAGTAACATTTTTGAAAAATTCAAAATTTTCAGAGATAATTTATAGGAATATATATGTTTTTTTCAAACTTAGAATATACAGTTGTAGTAAAACATGTTATTGGCATGCTATCTAAACAAAACAGTACTCAGTATAACATTTCATTGCTTGTTATTTAGCATATTTATATTCAGTATTACGTACATACTCCTTAAGGCAGTATCTATTATATTAAAATAATACAAATTACAGTACAAGAAAAACTCAGAAGTTATATACATTAGTCTCAGGATTGTTTTCATAGCAATGTGTTCTTTCTGGAATAAATAAACTCTAGCTTTTCTTCATTAATCCAAATTGATGGAACAGGGCTGTTTTTTCTTTTTCCATCATGCTTTTTCTGGGAGGCAGAGTTGCAGTTGGTCACTAATAAATGGCAAACTCACATTTGTTTTAGATACAGTTTTGGGTAGATAAAATAATAGATTCTAGCATGCCGCATATTAGGATTTGCAAATCCTTTGTAAACTGAATGGGATATTTGATACAGTCTTGTTTATCAGAAAAAAGAATTAGAATAAGTGTATAAGCTTCTGACAAAATATGTAGTACAAAGAATAGTACAGGATAAATCCAGAAATGCACAATGAAATCCATAATTTTAGTTCAACTGATCGAAATGGTTCTACTGGAAACTAAATGACATAATGCAAAAAGATACTGTTTATTCACACAGGGCATGTGATTTCGATGTTTGGACATTACTGCAGTGATTGCTGGACTTCACGATGGACGTCTTCATACTGCAGTTATAAAATCTAAATTGGGGTTAAATTGTTTAGAAAATGACATTCAATGGAGAAAATGTTGGTTTAATTTAAATGGTACAATTCAAAAAATATTATAGATTGTGTCCAGATACACATTTTGATATGCCAATTTTCTAGATTATTGAAGGAAAAATATACTGAAGTATCTTAAATGTCAAATAGATTCTAGAGATCTTTTGACAACTTTTATGAGAATACTGAAAATGTATTGCACAGGAATGTTTTGTTTCTCTTGTGTATTCTATTCTCTTATTACAAGTACATTTACTGCATAGTGTAATATATTCTCTTTCTTCAAATTTGCTTATATGTGTTCATGAAAGCGGTTCAATGATCCTTGGATAATAGTGGTTAAATAAGTCCCCTACTTTTGATTTTTTTTACTTTGAATGGTGAAAGAAAGATTGAAGAAAGCTAGATATGTTTAGCAGAATGGTCAGAAAGATAATTTGCATATTTTAATTCATGGTTAAGTAATACATAATTAGCAGTATTAATTATACAAGTAGTACTTTTAAGTTCCTTTACAGGTGATGCAAAGTGGTGTCTGTTGCATTTTTGTCTTTATTCTGTGAGGTCCTAGTCCCTGGGTTGTATCAGTTAGACAAAATTGTCTTGTAGAACTTAGGAAGCCTACCATTTTTTCACAGTGCTCTATCAAACCATACTACCCCAAAGTAGATTAGATTTTACCTTGTGGGTCTTTGGGAAAGCTATTTAGACCTGGGTATTTTCCAGGCTGGGGGTGGGGTCAAATAATTATAGAAATTGAAACCAGATGTTGCTGATTTTCTTGGTTGCCATAATATCTTGTCCCTTTAAAAAAAATAAAAAAATCAGTGGCTATATGGTTTAACTTATCAGCTGCCCTGAGTTGTGTTTATGAGATGGTGACCATATAAATTGACTGAAATAAAGGCAATCAATAAAACAGGAATACGCTGCTTTGGTGATATGTTACGTCTTTCCTAAGAAGGAAGACTTAAAAGACCAAAAAAATGAAGAAAGACCATGCAAACTACTTGGATAGTTCTTTTCATTTTTACATATAATATGCAGGTCACCTACAATTCCTTTGAATAGGCTTCAATAACCTAGAAATGAACATTTACATAAAGTTGGATGGCTGAAAAATAATGGATAATGTGGGAAATCCACAATATCAAAATTTGTGTGTATGAATTTAAACTTTTGAATATCACATTGGAATAGTAATTCTGTATTGTCAAAATGATTTATGTTTGTGTGTGTTTGGTTTATTTTACTGAGAGCTTTATGGATTTTAAATTTTAAAACTTACATGATGGGTGACAAATAATATGTGGCATTCCTAATTGAGTACCATTAGGACATTTTGTAATCCAAAAAAAAAAAAAAAACAGAACATCTATGAATACTATTTATAAACAATCACAGTCTCGGAATTTTTCTGACAATATAATTTTTATAGAAGCACAAAGAAGATGAGAAGGCTGTCTCATGGCAGGATATGGGAAATAAATCCCATGCTTCTATAGAGCTACATGAATTCAAAGACTTAGGAATGAAGATAGAGTCAACATCTATTCCAATAGAATTTTGTTTCCTACAGTAATTCTCTTAATGGAAATCAAACTAGTCAATTTAAATATCCAATCCATTTAATTAAATATCCATTTAATTCTGTTGTGTCTTATTCAATTGGCAACAGTCTTACAGAATTTTATTAAAAGAACTGCATTGATGACTTAAAATTTATTTTAAAAATTCTTTTAAAAACTGCATTTAAAAAATAGTGAAGGGGATTTACTGTAAGTTTAAACCTGTGGTGTTTAGAAGCTTTGGTCTCAAACTTTCTTTCTTTCTTAGTAATTTGATATTTCTCACTGTGGTCTGATATTTTCTTCTCTCATTATTTATTTATTTTTACTCTTGCTATAGGAAGGGGATGAAAGCTGCTTACAATCATGCTTGGAGTAAACAGCAAGCCCCAGCACATATATTTTCTATCCCATATTTTTATTCCCAAGTGAATAAAATACATTTTAATGCATTTGTTAGATTTATATCTTGTTTTTTTAAATTTAGAAACTTTATTATGTATCAGGGATGTCAAACTCACATTATAGTGGCATCATGTGATGTATAGGGACTTCTTTCCCCTTCGCTAAACCGGGCGTGGGCATGGCCAGCCCGTGACGCATCCAGCCCATGGGCTGGGAGTTTGACAGCCCTAGTATATATGATCTTCCTTCCTTCTATTTTTCTTCACTAAAATTACCCTATAAAGTGAGAGCAAGTGATTGATTCAAACCCAACTAGTTACCTTTGATGATAGAGCTTGGATTAACACCTGCTGCTAGTCTAACATTCAAACAGCTATACCACACAGAACTCTGTGGTAACAGTTAAAGGTATTGACTGATTGGGGATATGAATCAACGTGTATCTTCAGGTATAAATGATGGCTCAGAGTCTAGTTTATTTGCAGTAAATATTAGATAAAAGTATGATGCAACAAGAAATATAGAATTGAAAATGAATATAACAAATACTAAAGTGATCTTGCTATAACATTTTGAACCATTTGAAGTTTCTGAGAAAAGCTATAGGTAGAATGCATTATAGGGTATTAGTGACTCGATCTGCAATTGATAAAAACTGGAATAGCTGATGCAGCAAACTTAAATGCTTCTGGATTATGAAGCAACCATTTCAAGCATTGAAATGTTTTCTTTAGCAACAAAACAAGTATAATGCCTTGGTTGTTATTTTTAAGATACCATTATAGCTAATATGATCTCTCCTCGCAGCATAGACATGAGTGGATTGCTTGATTAGGTGCCATTAAGTTGGTGTTTAACGCTTAAAATGACATGAATTACTTTTTTTTTTAAAAAAGTTCTGTTTTCATTTGTCTCAATGAAGATGCCAGGTGACAATTGCAAGACTTTCTGAATGTGGTTATCCATTAATTCATTTTATTTCATTAATTTTTTTATGTAACATTTTCATGTTTCATGCAATTCACATACAAGTGATGTACAATGGTAAATTTGTTAAACAAATGTGCAGTTTCAGGGCAACCCCATGTAAAGTACATTGCAGTAATCTAACTGGTTGGTATTGAGGAATGAGTTACTATAGCTAGGTATCCTTGCAGTGAGAAAGACTGAAACTGTACTATCCAGAGCTAAACTTAAATTCTTCTGGCTATTACCAGACTTCAGGCAGAAGATATGAATCCAGAAGAATTACAGTGTACAAGCAGCAATTCTGTCTTATGTGGGTTCAAATTTTCTGTTATCTCTCATCCAAGTCTTCACAGGCTCCATGCAGTTATTTGTACACAGGGTCCCTCTGTGAGGAAGATGGGCAGTTTCTAAATATGATAAATAAGGAACATCAAGCACATCTCTTACAGTGTGGGGTAGCAGTGTATAATTAGGCATCACCAGGATACCACTATCATCTGAAATTGTCATATGACTTCCTCTATCAGTTTACTATAGATGTTAAAACACAATGAGGGGAGAATTGAATCGTAGCACTCCATCCAATAGTAGCTATTGGTTCAATCTCTCCTCCTACCTGCTATGGCAGACTGAAATTGTCCATTGAGAAAGGAGCACAATCATGGCAAAACAATACCTCCTATCCCCAATTGCAGGTGGTCCAACAAGATACCAAGAACAATGGTGTCAGAGGCTACAGTCCAATTCACTTACTTAATTTTCAAAATGTTTGGGACCATGCTACATAACCGATGTACACCTGCTCCTTGTAATATATCATACATGCCTTTAAAGCTTTGTGACCAGAGGATATTTTATTTCTACTTTGAGAAAAGACAAATAGAACTGCATTTTTGCTGTTAATTTGATCAAGCTGGAATATTTCTATTTTGCAGAGCCTTATTGAGAAAGCACAGGTATTCCTCATTTAGCAACTGTGTAGTACTGTGATTACTCTTAGTTATGAGAGTGATGAAGTAATTTTGAAACCAGTCCTTGCATTTTTGACCTTTGCAGGTCTATAAAGCAAATGAAAGCTGATCATAAACATGGTTGCAGTTTGCTTAGTGATCACTTCACTTACTGACTGAGTTGCTGGTCCCAGTTGTGCTTGCTAAACAAGGACTATCTGTAGTTTGATTTATTGTTTTGCCAGTGAAATAATATTTTCTAACTTATAACTCTATGAACTTGCTATTGAAATCTAAATAATTTTATAGCAAAATTATTTGAATCTAGAATTATTTTGGTAATCATCTATATATATAAAAGCGAAATACCACTTGCACATCATCACAAAATCTCCAGAACGGTAAAGCCTACAAACTTGAAATTTGGCACATATGTTCCTCTTGGCTTCTAGGTGCTCGCTAAGACAGGATTTTTCAAAATAACCATCAGAGCAATTAGTATTTTGTATATTATTATTAACACACTCTGATGCTAAGGAGTTCTACTCCCCCTCCCCACCTGAAAAGAAATCTGTTCCAAATGCAAAACACAAGCAGAGGACAGGAGTTTCAGTTTCAATTTTAGTTTCATAGCAGCAGCCAACTTTAGTACAGAACAGTTGAATTAAGCCACACCCAGGCTCCTTGCTATCTCCTTGCTCACACAGCAAATACTGTTTCAGTTTCCAAACAGCCCTCAATTCTCACACACTGACAGGATGCTAGCCAAATGAATACCGATGGATGCTGGTAGGCAGAGGCAGATTTCCCCCCCCCCCTTATTTTCCTCACCATAAACTAAGCCTGATCACATAGTTTCGTAGCGAAGCACGAGTATCCAGCTAGTGTTCTGATAAATGCTCAAAACAAAATATATATCACCCATATTATATTGTTGGTGTTAAATTGTAGGACAGCAATTTGTTCCATCTATCATGCATCCTTAAAATTAAAGATTATAATGGTGGTATTTTTATATCAATATTATTATAAATTCTTTATAATCTCTTGTTTGTAGCTTTTACTTTTTAAATTTTATAAAATGTTTTTTGTCTTCCTATTTTTTCTCTTTCTCATACTTTTTACATTTTCTATGGAAGTGCTCTTCTCATTTTGTAAAAGAAACTTTGGAATCTCAAAATTTTCTATTTAGAAAATAATAATTTTTAAAAAATTTCCTTTCACCAAAATTTTTAATTTTGCGTATTATAGCAGTAACAAAATAATAAGATTTTTTTTATCAGTACTCTTTGATTCAATAACTGTTCAATTAACAGTGGTTTAAAGTTTCAACATCATCGGAAAAAGTGACAACCGATTCACACACTTGCAACCATCGCACCACTCCTGTGCTTAATCCAGTGGTGGGATTTAATTTTTTTTACTACTGATTCTGTGGGCGTGGCTTGGTGGGCGTGGCAGGGGAAGGATACTGTAAAATCTCCAGTCAGAGGGGGTATTTACCAGTTCTCTGAACTACTCAAAATTTCCGCTACCGGTTCTCCAGAATTGGTCAGAACCTGCTGAATACCACTTCTGCTTACATCGCATTTCGGACACTTGACAACCAACTCTCATTTATGACTGGTTGCATTGTCTGGTGGTCATGGGATTGTCATTTGCTACCTTTTTTGCCAATTTCCACTAAAAAAACCAAAAGCAAATCATTGGATATTTGCTAAACACCTGCTGACTCACTTAACAACTGCAGTGATTTACTTAATGACTACCATAAAACTTGTAAAATTGGGTCTGACTCAACTTACAACCACACCATCTAACAAGGGAAATTCTGGTCCCAGTTGTCATTAATCTGATAACTATTTGTACTGGATTGATGATAGCCAAATATATAATATTGTTCTGTACCATAGCAGTATATTATAGGGTGACTAACATAAAATAAAAGTGATTTATTTTTCAGTCTTCAATTCAGCTTGAACATTTTTTTGATCAGAAAAAGGCACAAATGTATAAATAACAAAATAACAGTACAGAATAAATTTGCGTCAAAACATGGCAGGAATTGTCAACATTAAACATTAAGATAATTTAAAGAGTTACATTGTGATCTAAGGGATACATTTTTTATTGTTTTGGGAACTATATAGTTTCTCTAACTGTATCTGTGTCTTATTTTTCTTGTAGACCCCTCCGATAACTTGAGAGAGATTCTGCAAAATGTGGCCAAATTGCAAGGGGTTTCAAATATGAGAAAACTTGGCCATTTGAATAATTTTACAAAGGTAAGTAATTTAGTGACTATTACAACATTATATTTTTATTAGTGCATCAAAGAATATTTGTTTTAGAAAAATGATGGTTGAATGATGTAGCAATGGGATGATAACAGGGGTGGTATTCAAATTTTTTAACAACCGGTTCTGTGGGTGTGGCTTAGGTGGTGGGCGTGGTTTGGTGGTCATGTTATTGGCTGGGCGTGGCCAACTCAATATCATTCACATCGAGGCACGCATCTCCTCGCCTGGCCTCTCATGACTGTGGGGATGCTGCAACAGTCATAAGTGTGAAAAATGGTCATAAGTCACTTTTTTCAGTGCCATTGTAACTTTGAATGGTCACTCCACACAAGCAAAGTACCAGCAAAGGAGGGGGGAAAAACTCCAGAGATGTTCCTGAGACAGGAAGTCTAGTCCTTCCAAGCATGTAACAAGGGTCAACAGAGAAGCAATTTCTGTAAGCAACACCAGAATGTTTCCTTCCTGCCTTCCTTATAGGATTAGGCCAGTAATTTCTTCTAACAACCAGTTCTCCGAACTGCTTAGAATGTTAACAACCGGTTCTAGTGAATAGGTGCTGGTAGAATCCCTGGTAGAATCTGGTAGAATCTTACCCCTGGATGATAATGTCATCAAGTAGTAAGGGGATTGCTAAATTGTTTTAAATTACTTGGATATCCACAATTTGCAGAGCCTGAACAAATATGCTGTGATAATGAATGATAGATAGGTAGATAGATATAGATTCTTATGAAGGGTTATGAAGCAGTGAGTTGAACCTGAGGCTGTTACATGTCTACCTTTTGCAGATACAGGCATGTTGGAGGATCTGTTCACCCATATAATATATTTTTAAGATAGAAATTGAGATGTTGGAAATTAATGACTTATTTAGTTCTATTGACTAGGATTCTAGGCAAGGTATAACATGTAGTAACTAATAAAATAATAAAATAACAATATATTGTAATTCCAAATAAGACAGATTAATAAAAAGCATTCATCTGCCAGTGGTTCTACATTGATCAGTTTTCAAAAAGCCAGTTAATTTACACCATTCTGGCAAACTATGAGAGGCGAGCCATGTGTGCTTTGGGATAAGTTATTTCAAAGGAGGGAGATCTCATAGGGAGATCTCCCTCCTTTAGAATAGAATAACAGACTTGGAAGGAACACATAACACCTGCTCAAGCAGGAAACCCTATACCCGTGATGGCAAACCTATGGCATGCGTGCCACAAGTGGCATGCAGAACCACTTCTGTCGGCACATGAGAGGTTGCCCGGAAGAGTGCCACTGCGCATATGTGCATTCTCCCACCAGCCAGCTGATTGTCGGGTATCTGCTGCGCATGCACGGGGGAGATGCGCATGCATGCGCAGAGGCATGTGTCATGCAGGGGGTTGTGTGTGCATGCACAGAGGCATGGTGGGTTGCAGGCACATGCACAGGGAGTGGGGAAGTTGTATGTGCATTGCATCATGGGTGCAGGCATGCAAGTGCACTTTTGGCACACAACGTGGAAAAGGTTAGCCATTGCTGCCCTGTACCATTTCAGACAAATGGTTGTGCAATCTCTTCTTAAAAACTTCCAGTGTTAGAGCATTCACAACTTCTGGAGGCAAGTTGTTCAACATTCACTAGGAGGGTAGCTGAGTCTACTGTTGTGTATCCCAAGGGGGATGGTTATGGCACAGAGTGTTTATTGTTTTTTATTATTTTATTTATTGGCTTAATGATTTTTATAAGCTGCCCAGAGTTGCTTACGATGGGCAGCCATAATATAAATCTTTTAAATAAAATTCATTATCAAGCTCCCTTCAGCTTTGTGAACCTTGTCACAGTGGTTGTTCCTTGGTCTCCTATATTGTCAGGCAAAAGTTATTTCTAAAGTACTCAGACTCTTGAGTTGTATGGTATATAATAGATAACAACCATCACTTTGAATTGCACTTGATAACCAGAGTAAGTCCCTAATACAAATTTTGTTCATAGACATTGAACAATGTTAGCTCAAGGGCATATGACACTCCTGAGATACATTGACTGCTGGTATCATGTGCTGCCTTTTTGCATTTTTAGAATCATTCAGAAGAAAGGCCGTATTGTTGCCCCCAAGGCTTTGATGCCCTAGGTCAATTCAGACTAAAGCTCTCCCTGCTTTTATTTTATATATTAGCTTATTTTATAAACTTTATTCACAAAACTAAGCACATAAAGTGGAAGAGAAGTGTCTACATTGTCTGTTATTTGAGCTACTCTCTTACACTTTTACTTCAGAGGTGTCAATGCATTTTGTCAGTTTTATGGTATTTAAGGCCCAGGATACATTTTTCTTGCCACTGTTTAATGGAGCTAATAACCTAATTTGATATTGAATAATGGAACTTTGGATAAAACAGTAGCAGTGAAGGAGGGTTCAGAATAATTTTGATGTTATTCTCTTCATCTGCAGTTTGTTAAAGTAACGATTAAGATTTGACAATGGGAACAGGGATTTCTGGAAAGAGGTTTAATCTTTTTTCCAAAATGGTGCAGAAAGAGACTCTGAAGATGACCAAAGCCAGCTTTTCAGGAAAAAGTCTGCTATCTAAATCTTTGGGGAGCAGGGAAGCTGTTCCAGTTACCAAAAACCTCATGCCACTGGGTGAATGAAAAATTTGAGAACATGCATAGTAGTACTAGTCGTGTTGAATACAGTTAAGTTGTGGGTATGGTCTAGCATTACCAAAAAAAAGGCAGGTTCATTTAATAGCATTTTTTGCAAGATTAACAGAGATGGTTCAGAAATTCTTTGTGCCTATATCCACATGAGTGTACAAATGTATTCTGTTTCATTTTTTATAGTATTTTACTAGTATTCAAGTAAACAGCTTCTGTAGAATTCTCCACCCAAATTTCCCTCTACTGTCAAAATAGGTTTGAAATACGGAAGGATGGTGGATCATACATATGTCCAGTTTCTTTCTTGCATTGCTTTTATTCTGTTTAGACATAATTTTTAATATCTCAATCATATTCCTAATATCGAAAGAGCTGCCTCCAAGTTTTATGCAGGGATTCTTAGGTTTATTGGAATATTACTGTGATTAACTTGATGGTAGTTTTTAAAAGAAAAAAGGAAATACGTGAAACAAATGTTTCTGATATATTGTAATTTAGAAATTCTGTGAATTAAATAAGTAAAACTGTGATGCTTCATGTAGTAAGTCACAATTAAACTTCCCAAAGTTCTTTAATCTTCTTAAAAATAATATTTTCAGCAAGCCATAATTATGTGACTTCATTGATATTGTGGAGACCATATGGAGGCAGTCTGACAATTATGTTTTATATAATTCAAGAACTGCTTTTGAATTAGGATCTGCGATGGCGCAGTGATTAGAATGCAGTATTGAAACAAAATTATATTGGTGACTTTTGCTTTAAAAGTGGTAGTAGCTTTGCCAAAAAAATGAATTAGATAAAGATGCGAGTGATAATAATTTTTTTTTAATTCAAGATTGTGTAGAGTTGATGTTTGCAGAGAAACCAAAGAATTCGTACATTTTTTAAACTTGTGTCTTTTAAGGTAGTTGGAGTAATTAAGTTAATTTTAGAATCTTGCATACATCTGAAAAATAAAGAATGTTTCAGTCAATCCAGATATCAATAGCTTGGTTTTTTAAAATCATCTTTCAAAATTTAATGTTAATGACAATAATTCAACCAGGCTATTTCTTTCTCTTCTAATAATATCCTGGAAAAATGTTCAGGTTGGTTAATTGGGAAGCAGTGTAGATGTGAGGAAATGGTTGGTTGAACTTGCTTATTGAAAATTGTTTTAATTCTGTTGTTGAAAGTACTGAAATTTATATCTTGCAGCTTCTTTGTAATGCTGGTCATACTGAAGAAAAATTAGGTTTTACTTACGAAGATATCATCATATGGTAAGTGTTATCTGTTGTAAATAGTAATCTGATGATTGGAATTCTGGATTAAAGTAATAACAAATCAGAAAGTGGTTTTATCCAGAGAAGATGGTTTGTGATAGAATTAGAACAAAAGGCTAGAAATTCTAAGTTGTATTGGGTGATAAATGTGGAAAGGGATTAAGTTGGATTTAAACTGAGCACGTCTTCAGATCCAACAATAGTAATTGTGAGCAGTAGTGATTATTAGGTTGATTGTTACTCCTGTCCCTGATGAACAGTTGGGATTTATGCCCAGCTGATATCTTAAACATAAGCTTTTTATATAATATATCCTGTTTACTGTTAAAGACCTGAAAAAAACCCTTTAAAATTATTTTTGTTTAAAATAACCAGACTTTTACTAGCTACACATTGGAATAGTAAAGAATTTAAATCATTATAAACAGTGGATCAGCAGATAAATACTACAAAATATGCTGTGACTTGAACTATTTTTAAAACAGTAAGTATGTAATACGTTATAGTGGTCAACATGACATGATAGTAGTCCTTGATTTTCAACCACAATTGAGCCCAAAATTTCTATGGTTGTAAGACATTTGTTAAGCGAGTTTTGCCCCATTTTAGAAACCTTTCTTGCCACAATTAAGTGAGTCATTGCAGTAATACGGCTGTTCAGTGAACTTGTCCTCCCCATTGACTTTGCTTGTCAGAAGGTTGCAAAAGGGGATCACATATCCTTGGGACACAGCAATAGCCATAAATATGAACCAGTTGCCAAGCATCTGAATTTTGATCACGTGATCATGGGGATGTTGCAATGCTGTGCTAAGCTTCATAACTGAAAAATGGTCATAAGTCACATTTTTCAGTGCCATTGAATCTTTGAACAGTCAAGGGAGGGAGGGAGAGGGTTACCTGTATTTTCTTTTGGAGGTGATAGAGAAACTTAGTATTTTACATGCATTTCCTTTGCATTTACAGCTAAGGTGAACAATAATGTCTTACTTATCCTTTACTACTAACAGAATTGAATACAGTGTAGTGCTATATTAAAACTCAGAAACAAATTTGACAAGTCCCATTTTATTTTGTATATTAATAATAAACATCTGTTAAAGATGTCAAATAGGTATTATTGACCTTACCTATATCTTACAATTGGACATTTGATTAAAGATTTAACTTTGTTTTTTAAATTTTTTTAAATTATATCGTGTTTACGGGATTTAATTTACGGGATTTAATTTAAGAATGACCGCAATGCCGTATTTTAAATCTGGTTTCTGAAAAGTCCTCTAGAACTTTGATAGTATAAACTTAACAACTGTCTGCACTCTTAAAGGCCGTCATAAGCGTAGAAAAAAAGCACAGTTCTTTTTAGAAGTTGCAAACATGATTCCATGTGCTTTTTTACCCAGTTGGCATTCTTCTGACTTTCAAAATCTTAAATGTGCTAAGCTGAAAACCTCTGGGAAAAATTTGATATACCAGCGTAATGTTGAAAACATTTAGCTTTGTAGTGATTTTTACTCCATAATGATTTCACTTTTGATCATTCTGATATCAAATGAATCCAGACAACAGAAAATAGTACTTTTTAAGTGTAAAGTTAATGGATTTTTACTGGCTATAAAATGGAATAGCCAAATAATGTAAATCTTAATAATTTTTTTGAAAAAGCTCCCAAGGTCATCTAAAAACACATGTCACTAGGCCATGTGTTTCAAAGAGGTCTATCTCCTTAATTGAAAACAGTGAATAATTTGCCTTTGTTTGTATTCTTACAACTATAGACATGAGCTTTGGGAGAAATTAAGCTCTTTACAACTTTTTAATGAAAGAAACAAAAAAATTAATTGGGATTGATGGGTTAATTGTTAAAAACTTTTGCAAGTTTGGAGTTATATAATTCCTTAAATGTTGCAGAGATGTTTTTTTTGTGGTAGTTTTGATTTAGTTTCAACAATAAATATCTACACCAAAGTGTAAAATGTTTTATGTTTGTGTCACTCTCTAGATTCATACTGTATTATTCTTTTTAATTTGATTAAATAAATAATACATTAAATATTCAATAATATTTCAGTCACATAGGAATTTATACATTATTAGCTGCTGCTGCTGCTGTAGATGTTGTAAAAACACATTTTGGATGCTGTAGTGTTAAAAATAGGAAGTTAATCACATAAAATGGGTTTGAGGAATATAAATTGGATATATTTTGATCATTTATAGCCTGAATGACTTATTTATCATCACAGTTTGCGGTTAGCTTTATTAAATGAAGCGAAAGAGGTGCGAGCAGCAGGACTCCGAGCTCTTCGATATCTTATCAGAGACTCCAGTATTTTACAGAAGGTATTAAAACTGAAAGTGGATTACTTAATAGCCAGGTAATTACCAAAATAATACTGAAATAATGTGATTTGGAACTGCTTGGATTTTTCATAAGTATCGGTTGTTTATATGGCCCATCAACAGTGTCCATTTGTATTATTAAATGACCCATCAACAGTGTCCATTTGTATTATTAAATTTGTAATTAGACCTTCCTCCAACTGGAATCATGTTCTTTATGTTAGGGGTCCCCGGCAGGCCACAGACTGGCACTTGTCTGTGGCCTGTTAGGAATTGGGCTGCACAGCTGGAAGTGAGCAACAAGCAAGTGAAGCTTCATCTGTATTTGCAACTACTCCCCTGCACTAGTATTACCACCTCAGCTCCACCTCAGATCATCAGGGATTAGATTTCCATAGGAGTGTGAATCCTGAATTGTACATGTGAGGGATGTAGATAGTATGCTGTTCTTCCCCTCTCCCCCCATCCGTGGAAAATTTGTCTTTCACAAAATTGATTCCTGGTGCCAAAAAAGTTCGTCACCACTGCTTTATGTATATTCAATGTTTGTACAGGATTCATGTATATACAGAAATTCTGCTTTCAATCACATAATCCAACATATAGAAGCATTTGGGAACATTAGCCACATATTAGTCTAATAAAAGCATCTACAGAGTCTGCTGTATATTTTTGTGACTCTTGTGTTGTTCCTTCTGTTGATATAATCTTGTTGATACTATTATTTGGAACAATAAAGTTACAGTCATTTATAAGTGAATGGCCTGGAACAGTTCATGATGGAGGCTTTGAGGCAAATGTAGGTCATCCTCTGCTTACGATGGGTTGTTTAACAACTGTTTGAAGTTAAGATGGGAAGGGTGCCTTATGGTCTATAAAGCTTTTCTGGCCATTGTAAAATGTTACCCCTCCTTCCCCGTGGTCACATGATTGTGATCCTGGGTGCTTGGTAACCTGTTCCAAGTAAAGACTGGTTGCTAAGCGCCTCACAATCATGTGATTGCCATTCAGAATTTTCTCCACTGACCTCCCCAGAAAGTCAGTAGGGAAGCCAGCAGGGAAAGTTGCAAGCTGCTCTCACCTGTACCAAGCATTCCTCATCCCCTCCACGCGTGTGGGGTGGATAGATGGAAATCCATTGGGCTGCAGAAACGAAGCTCCGATCTTCAGATCTGATCTTTGTTTCTGCAACCCGCTGCAGGAGTTTCTTTCTGTGAATGGGAAGAGGGGTACTCCTTCACTGGATTGGAGTAATGAAGCTTGCATTCCATAGATCCGAGCTTTGTTTCTCCAGCCAATCACAGACATTCTCTTCCACATGGAAGGAATTTCTGTGGTAGGTTGTAAAAATAAAGCTTGAATTGTTGGGGGCAATATGCTGACTCTGTAAACCACTTGGAGAGGGCTGTAGAGCACTATGAAGCTATATGTAAGTGCTATTGCTAAAGATCTGAGTCCCATTGCAGGAGTTTCCTTCTGCACATGGAAGGGAACTGCTTTCCTGCCTGTAGCAGGCAACTCTTTCATTTTGTCTTTTTAATTATTCATATGGTCATTTAATTTCCACAAGTGAGAGAGCTGGGATTGTGGTTGTTGAGTGAAGCAGTCCTAACTACCCCTGTGCTTAACTGATATTCCAGCCCCAATTGCCATAAGTCAAGGATTATCTATTTGGATTATTTTACCTCAGTAATGTTTAGAAGTTGAATCTCATTATATCCCATAAAATAATTTTGGGTTGATTTGAGCATTTTTAGCCACTTGTACTTTGAGAGAAAGTGAAAAACATCATTCTTGTTGGTTCTTTCTTCCCAATGTTATTCCTGTGCAATTCCCCACCTGTGTATTAGAAGATTTCACTTCTCCCTGCTAATCTTTTGAAAGTAGGTTTTCAAAAAGAATAAGAAAATGTCACCTGTACTATTTTTCCATCAAAAGTATTCTACAGATAAACTTTCATGGAAGGATGAAGCCTTCGTGTGTTGAGAGGCAAATTCTAGATCCAAACCAACCAATAATGCTAGAATTTTAATGTCTGAATCCCAGATATAAGAACTAATACATCAAAACTTTGAGAAAATAAACCATGTTTATAGGTAGTTATAAATATAAGTACATAAATATATATGTATTTAATTTTAGATGCATAGATATACAGCAAAGCAATGAAGTAGAACGAACACAAGCACTTCGTTTAGTCAGAAAGGTACGTGAAAACTCACAATACTGTTATTTACTAAATTATCCATCTCAAGTTTTATATGATTATAAAATAATATTGCAAATGGCTTGATTATTCAATGTAGAAAACAATGTTGGTAACACGATTGACATCCAGCTGACTATGCCCACCCGGGCCCCCGAGTCCAAACACAACCCTGATGCGGCCCTCAATGAAATCAAGTTTGACACTCCTGTCTTAATAGGATGAGATGGCTCATCAGATATGCCATAGATGGCTTTGAAGGCCATAACCAAACACTGGAACTGCATCTGGAAGCAAACTGGCAGCCAGTGCAGCAGTGTTGCAACATGGGTCAGTCGTGTAGTCCCTGTGGCTTTCTAAAGCCAATCAATGTCAATGGACTTCCAGGAAAGGCTTAAGATAGAAAGGAGAAATATCAAATAAAAGAAGCATCAAGTATCATTTGGGTCCATTTAGCTGCTATGCAGAGCTTCTAGTGGATAAATATAATACCTCAAAGACTCTGTAATATTCAAGGCCACTTTTTGAGAGTCCACTTAACATTGATCAGCTGTGTAAGAAACGTTAAATGCCTTTAGAAATTTGAAAAAGCTTATTGGAAGTCAGGATATGCTTAGCTGCAACTAAACTCTGGTTTAGAATGTGTATATACCTGTTAGGAATATAAGTCACCTAACAGGTATTTGGGTTGGAAATATATAAGCCAGGATAGACATTTTAATACTGTCTTTAAGAGAATGCTAAACTTGTAAGTAGGTGTGGTTTCTCAAACAGCCATAAGATGGAGCCAGAAACCTGGATTGTTTTAGTCTTAGTCTCAGAAGAGAGTGTGAGTCTCTGTTTCGTTCTGTTGGAGAGAGTATTGCCGTTCCTCATAATTGACTGCTATTTTGGATTTGATGTAAGTCTGATGCTGAACTGTTTATGATACTGGATTTTGTTATTGGATTATCCCTGGATTGAAAATTGACTGATTTAACCTGTGAATGACTTTGGACTGTGTTTGAACTTTGCTTAACATTTCTGAAAGTAAAAACCTACATTTACTGTACAGTGTATCTGTGTGCTGTGTGTGTATTATTCAAACACTACTCTCTATACGTCTCCCTGTATGCGTTCATTCTCCTAACGGGGAATTACCTCAACAATACCATTCTACTTTCTTATCTTATTGATGACCATGATTTAAAATTCCATCTTGGAAAATTAGTCAAATTGGCCCCAACTAAATCACCTATTTTTAATGGGGGCATTCAGGACTTCTAGGTTCACATTTGGAGCTGTATGGTACTCTCATACTCCTAGCTTTTCCATAGACATTGTTATTTGTATGAACATTTCAGATGGAGAAATTATTGGGGTATTTTTCAGCAGCTCTTAAAGTAGCTTTTGAGTATGTTTTTGCTATTCAATTTTTGTGGATAAATTGAATAAAAAGATCTTGAAGATGCTTTAGCAGTAATGTTTCCCTTCTTATGGCTGATTCTTTGTATGGCTGTAGTACAACAGTTATCTTTTGAAAAATAAAATTAAAAATTAAGTTACAGATTAAGAATAGAATACCAAAACAAAATATTAAAACAGGTTCTGTTTAATATGAATAATTGAATATTTTACATTGTTCTTTAATTGAGCCATGTATGCAGCAAATACTTCCTTCTTTCTACATTTCTTTGCAGATGATTACAGTCAATGCTTCATTATTTCCCAGTTCAGTTACCAATTCTTTGATAGCTGTTGGAAATGATGGCCTGCAAGAGAGGGACAGGATGGTTCGAGCATGTATTGCTATTATCTGTGAATTAGGTAAGTATTTTTAAAAAGTATTTCAGTTAAATATGAGATTTAGTAGAGAGAATTATCAATCTTTTGGAATGAATGGGCAATCTGTACAGTAGATTACAAAGCTGTTTAATTTTTATCGCATCCTCTTCCCATATGTCTTTTGAAATAAACTTAGATTTGTATCAAAGCATTCTGTGCCAAATATAACTCAGCTATCTGTACTCAAGAATTACTGATTTTTTAAAAAAGAAATTGGGTCACTCTTTGCAATATATACATGGCATGTGCAACATAACCACGGAGAAAGTCCCATTGAACAAATTTAAACTTGTTGCTAAATCTTAAATACCTATTCTGATGTGTGTTTTTGAACAATTTGAAATGAGTCTTAAATAAGAGTTCTCAAAGTTTCTGAAAGGAATGTAGTATGGGTTGGTGAAGAATTATATAATCTTGGAAGAATTTAAGGTATTTAGAATTATTTTATAACACTTTGAAAAATGAATATAAGATGTAATTTAATGTTAACATTTAAAGATTTTTGTTTGTAGAAATATGATTAGTTATTAAATACTATCAAAATTATAAAATATTTAATACTCTTTAAAATGGAATAATCTCTTTCAGCAATTCAAAATCCAGAAATAGTTGCGTTCCGTGGTGGTCTAAGTACCATTTTGAAAAATGTGATAGATTGTCAGTTAAGCCGTATAAATGAAGCTCTCATAACAACTGTTCTACATCTTCTTAATCATCCAAATACCCGACAATATGTGCGAGCTGATGTGGAATTAGAGGTAATTTTAAATATAATTGCATTAATGTGCTTATTTGTTCTAAATTTGAATTGCTTATTTACATGTAGTTTTCATTTAGCAACCACAATTGGGAGCTGCTACTCTGTCACTAATCAAGACATCACATGACCATGATAGATTTACTGTCTCACTTCAGTAGATGTTAAGGAATAACATAACAGGATTTTACTGCTGGCTTTTCCATTGACTATGCTTGTTGGAAGCGGACTGTGAAATGGGCAAAAGACAATCACATAACTATAGCATGCTGTGACAGTCATAAGTGCAAGGATTAATCATAAAGTTATTTTTTTTCAACATTGCTGTAACTTTGAATGATTGCTAAACATGGAGGCCATTAACCAAAAACTCCATAAAGTTTTGAAGCTTTGGCTTCTAATAAGCGTTGGCTTTTAATATTATCTATTAACATTGAAATTTGATACTTGCATATGTATATAAATTATTCCTTTTTTCAAAATAAATTGATATTTATAAAGTTAATAAATTAGTTTATAGCATCTCCCAGTGCCTTTCCTTTCTACACTATTTCCTTTAAAAATAAGAAATTGGATGCAGGGGCAAGATACATATTTTCATGTTAAAAGCCCAGATCAACTGTATCTTGGCAGTTTTGTTAAAAAGTAAGAAACTTCTGATTGACAAAACATATTTTTAAAAGCATTTAAATAGATTTACATATGATAATAATATATAAACGGTAATAGGAATGACACTGATCTTCTTTATTGTAGCGGATTTTAGCTCCATACACGGACTTTCACTACAGGCATAATCCAGACACTGCAGAAGGACAGCTCAAGTGAGTACACAATCATTCTCTGCTATTCCCAGATTCCTAATTTGTGGAATAAGCTCTTTACAGCAATGCTATTTAAAAAAAACAATAAAACATAACAGTCTTTACTTATTAATCTTTTTTTTAACAGAGAGGACAGAGAAGCACGGCTTTCTGCTAGTAAAATGGGAATTGTGGCAGCATTTCGATCATGGGCAGGTAGGCTATTTGTTCTCATTTTAACTGAAGTCAGTGAGTAGAATAACACACACACGCACACACACACACCTATGCCCTCTCCGCTTTGAAAATAGCCCACGTGGCACTGTTTAGCATAGTCAAACATCAGCACAGGAAGTATTTTATGGCATTCCATATTAGGTCATAAACTGTTTAGCCCATGGTGAACAGTATAGCACAAACATCAGCACAGGAAATATTTTATGACGTTTTGTATTATATCATAAACTGCTTTATGGTAATATGCATGTCATAAAATGTTTTCTAAAATGTACCAAATTTCATTTGCATGGGAATCATGGATCTCATATTATAAATGCTTTCTGTAAATTAACCCATTTGGGATATCATGGTTCACCCAGTTAAAGGTTACATGAAGCAGAGTTTTAGTGGTATATAGATGTTTTATAGATGTAAGCAGAATCACTTGGAAATAAAACTTTCCTGTTGTAGGCAAACTGTAGATTGGAAATTTCTTTAGGTAAGAAAGGATGAATTAAATGTTTAGCTTTCAGGGCAGAAAAAACAATAACATGCACTAGACAAGAAGATGTTTAAATGTATTGATGCACTCATTTTTTTCTGATTTTTTAAAAACTTGCTATGATTTGTTTACAAGTAGCCTTCAACTTACAACAGTAATGGAGCCTGCCCATTTTGCTCATAAGTTGTGACAATCATAAAATGGGTCACCCTAAGAGCTGACCTGATTTTACGACCTTTTTTTTGCAGTGGTCATTAAGCAAGCTAATTGTTTATTATGGGCCAGTTTTGCCAAAAGAAATACATGCTGATTTTTGGACAAAAACATCATAAAAGAGTTATATGTGTGTGGAGTGTTGTAAATGGCTATAATGTAGGCCTATTGCCAAGTGCCCAAAATGTGATCATCTGATTTGGGGGGGTGGGAGATGGCCATCATAACTTTGGGTTGAAAGTATACTGCGGAGGTCCATCATTATTTGAACTAGGCAACTGATTGTAAGTTGAGGGTTACCTGCTTGGTTTTATTGGCTGCCTAACTCCAACAGACTGGGTTTTAACAGACTGAAACTGTAACAAAGTGTCTGCTTATGTGTTCAAATGTAAAAACAAAACAGTACTTCTCTTACCATTATATAATTATGCCTTTCATTTTCTTTTCAGGTATAATTAGTTTGTGTAAGCCTGGGAATTCTGGGATCCAATCTCTTATTGGGGTGTTATGTATACCTAACATGGAAGTGCGGGTATGTTTTCAACTTCTGCAGCTAGAATTGTGAGGTTTGCATGTTCTTCACAGGCCACACTCACTTCTCACAATACTGTTAATCTAGGAAATTTGTAACATTCATTTTCTTAGGCATGTATATTCTATTTGAGGACTTGTCAGAGGCACTGCCAGACATTGCCATCAGTATTTGTGGAGATTGCTTATATTAAGTTTTGTTTTAAGAGGTTGTAAATCACAATTTGGTTTAAAGTTCAATAGAACTTAAAAAATGTAATGGAAACATGAGAATTGCCATCATATTCAGTAAACTTAATCTACTCATTTTGGCATACTGTACATTAGCTGCCGTATATTATTTAGCGCAATACAGATTGTTTATTTTTTATTTATTACAACTGTGTTTTCTAGAGTTCCTATTACAAAGCATCACAAAGCAATTTATTATAATTGTAAAAAAAAATCAAAGTAAAGCAAAATAAAAGCAGTTGATTAAATGTAGAGATACTGTGAGTTTAATGGCTGGGAAAGACCATTATAAAAAGATGGCTTTTTTAAAAAAAGAAAAAAAAACTCATAAAACATGCTAGTATTGATGTACATTATATGCAGTCTAATGGTTTATTTTGTAGAATGCTTACCTGTTCCCCACTCTTCAGAAAAACAGAAAAAATAAATCAGTATCCTGGGAGAGGGAGCCACATTTGCCAAGTCAAATTCTTGGAACAGTTGTTGCTTTAGATGTCGCACCATGATAGTCATTTTGTGATTGGGCAACCCCATCCCAAGACGGAGTGTCAGTACATCCATCACATGTTCTCAGCATTCATTCCTGCTGCAAATGTTTAATAAACAGTTACATTATTGGCTATTAGAACAGGACATCAGCTACCTTGAAGAAGGTGGCCCATATTTTTCAATGTCTGAGTTGTATTTCTTTGATATTAGCTTCGTATAAATATATTTCTGCTCATTTTTGTAATCCTATTCCTGTTTATGTTACAGCGAGGCTTGCTTGAAGTTCTATATGATATATTTCGTCTTCCTCTTCCTGTTGTGACAGAAGAATTTATAGAAGCACTTCTCAGTGTAGGTTAGTATTAGATCTGGGGAAATGCTCCATGGTATTTGCTGGGAAGATCGAGGAGCATTTCTTTATCTGGTGCTGTATTGGGGACTTTAACTGCAGCTGAATTGTAATAATTATGCAGTAATCTTTCTTTCACAAACTTGAATCGTGATATACAACTCTAAGCATTTTATTTATGACATATAAAGGGCCCCTCTGAGGGAAGTCATTTGTTGTCTAAATTGCTAATATATGAGATACTTTTTAAAAATAATTTTTATTTCAGCTATCATTATCATGCATGAAAGATTTTAAACTTAAGATTTTTTTTTAATGATGTGTGCAAGACAAGCATGAACTTTCTCCCAGCACTGCAAAATAGGAGTTAGAACTGCTAAGGAAACAGTGAGAAATAATAATGCCGAATCACATGAGAAATGCCATGCCATAATTTTACAGGGTTTTCAGCTGCCCATCTTTAAACTTAGAATTCGTTTCCACATTTTTATTTGTGTAGATCCAAGCCATTTTCAGGACAGCTGGAGACTTTCTGATGGCTTTGTAGCTGCAGAAGCTAAAGTTATATTACCTCACCGAGCCAGATCCAGGTACTTAACTATTACCCACCCAAGTAGAATACATGTTTTTGTCTCACTTTGATAAAGAAATAGATTTTTCTTTTAAAAAACATGAATGTTGTCATTTTTTATTTTTTTATTTTATCCAGGCCTGACCTCATGGACAATTACTTGGCCCTGGTTCTCTCTGCTTTCATTAGAAATGGACTCTTAGAAGTAAGTTCAGATTTTAAATTAAATTGCAAAAAAATTCCATTCTTTAGTACAGTATGTTCAGTGTAAAGTAACACAGATGTCACATATGCACCACATATCTAGAATTTTATCTCTTTAATTATTCCAGGGTCTAGTTGAAGTAATCACAAGCAGCAATGATCATATATCTGTCAGAGCAACTATCTTACTGGGGGAACTTTTGCATATGGTAAGAGAGACTTTCATTTGCTGATTAACTGCTATTCATTTTAATAAGCACTGTTGGATTTCATTTCCGGTAGTAAAGGAGAAGGAAATAATATTCAAAACTTAAAAAAACAGTGCCAAGACACATTCAAGTTGTTGTCTTACTTTAGCAAAAAAGATAGATAGTAACAAAAATAACTTTTCCTTCCCTCTTTTATTATCTTAAAATATAAGGGTTTTCTGGGGTTGGTCTACAAATTAGAGTTGCCTAATCTGTAAAATGTGGACAGTTTACTTCAAAATCTTGCTTGTTTTCAATTTATTGCTGATGATCCTGAAATCTTTGTCTTTTCTTCATTTAAGACAACGCAGTTAAGTTTCTTTTATTAACTTGAGATGTTAATAAAATACAAAGTAACATATTCAGGTCATAATTCATTATTTCAGCAAGGTGTCCCTTTTAGATTAGGATTGACCAATTGGTTTTTTGCCTACTTTAATTAATCGTAATATTTTGTGAATGGCTTTTCCATGAGATCTATTGTACTGTTTCCTTTGCTGCAAGCAAGGCAAGCAATTAAGAAAGTTTTCCCCCAATTCAGTATTTTTAACATAATGTATTTTTATTAAGTATATTATTTGAAATAAGCTCTGGTCTTATATCATTAAAGTAAAACAGGTTTCATGGTATAGGGGTGAGTAGGTGGAATAAATTGAACTTTGTTTCAAACCTCTAAAGCTCTTTCTTCTTTTTCAGGCAAACACCATTCTTCCACATTGTCACAGCCATCATTTACACTGCTTACCAACTTTAATGAATATGGCAGCTTCTTTTGACATTGTAAAGGAGAAGAGACTGTAAGCATACTGTTAATAACATGCTTAGATACGCTAAGATAAAAGTATACATTCAGCTTTCATTCACATCAGAATACATATTTATACATTTTAGTTATCAAAATAGAATACTGAAGAGTCAGAAAGATAGAAATACTTCTCACTGAAAGTTTTCTCCTTTTTTCTGTTGATGGTAGTCCCTGCTCTATCAAAGAGCTTTCCATCAGCAGAGTAATACCAGTTGCATAAATAACACTGCTCAGCAGATTTTGCTCTCTGTATTATTATTTTCATCTGAAAACTTCCTTTGTATTAAGACAGATTGTGTTTCTTTTCAAAAGAAAGCAAGTATAATCTTCTTGATTTCTGGTTTTGAAATTGCCAGTTATTTTCTTTACATGTTATATTTCAGTTAGAGTCTAGATGCAAATTTGCAAAAAGTCATAACACCTTATAATATATTCTGTGAAGCAAACAACATATATGGTGCATTCAAATAATATTCAGACCCCTTCACTTTTGTCAATTTTATTATGCTGCAGCAGCCTGGTTCTACTGTAGAATCAGGCTGCAGTATAACAAAATTTTAAAAAGTGAAGGAGGTCTGAATACTTTCTGAACCCACTGTATTTGTCTAAATTGTACATATTTCATAAAGTTTATTTGGCATATTTCTGCATCAGCAGCACTTATTCAAACTCACTTTTACTCACTTTTTTTTTCTTTCTGTTTATGGCCAGAGAGCACTATTGGTAGTGAGCTAATTGTATTTTGTTTTCATCATTTCAATTTTATTAACATTTTCAGGAGTTATTTCTTGGTATAAGAACCAATAATTTGCAAAATCAATTATTATAGAATTATATGTAAATTATATTCAAATTTTGTTAATACAGGTAGTCAATACAGGTAGTCAAGTTACAGCAGTTCATTTAGTGACCATTGAAAGTTACAACAGCACTGGAAAATAAGTGACTTATGACCATTTTTCACACGACCATTGCAGCATCGCCATGATCATGTGATCAAAATTCAGATGCTTGGCAACTCATATTTATGATGGTTGCAGTGTCATGGGATCATGTGACAGTCTGACAAGCAGAGTCAATGAGGACATCAGATTCAATTAACAATCACTTAACAACTGAAGCGATTCACTTAACCACTGTGGCAAGGAAGATTGTAAAATGGTGCAAAATTCACTTAAAACTCTCACTTAGCAGCAGAAATTTGGGGCTGAATTGTGGTCGTAATTCAAGGACTACCTGTATTTGATAATTACTTGTTAATGAAACAAAATGATCCAAAGCATGCATATTTAAGAATATCAGAGTTATATAATTGCCATTTCATCTAAACTCCTGAAATGGGACTTGGTTTGTAGTGGATTCAAATCAATAAGCTGTCAAGCCATGTCAGCGTAAAAATCCCTGCGATTTACAGAATATACCAATTCTTTCAGATCCTTATTAAGTATAGTAATTGCATTATCGTGTTCTTCTGGTAGACGAGCCAGTGCTGCACTGAACTGCTTGAAACGCTTTCATGAAATGAAGAAAAGAGGACCTAAACCTTACAGTCTTCATCTAGATCATATTGTCCAGAAAGCTATGTCAACCCATCTGCGAAGAGATCAGTATCGTGTGCAGAAAGATATCTTTATTCTTAAGGTAGACTTATCTAGGTTCTTTGTCATCAAAAGAATATAATACTTACCAGTATATAATTTTTAAACTAAACCTTCCTTTTAGAATGGATAGTAATTTTAAGCTAACTTTTTTTTTCATTTGAGTGGGAGCCTGTCTCACTAGATACTAGTTCAACTCTGAGGTTTGGGTTTTATTTTCTTTAAAAAATATAAATTTTGGTGTGGTTATTTGGAAATGTGTTTAGTAACACAGAAGCAACTTTACAATGGGATTAACTTATTTTTCTTTTCCCTTCTGCTGCTGAAGGATACTGAAGAAGCACTATTAATGAATCTGAGAGATAGCCAAGTTCTTCATCACAAAGAAAATCTGGAATGGAATTGGAATCTGATAGGGACCATACTTAAGGTCAGATGTACAGTATGATGATACTCTAATTAGCATTTAAGAATTGAAATACAAGACATTAATTGAAATAATTCTTACCATGCTTTGTATTTGCTGTTTTTAGTGGCCAAATATTAACTTAAAGACTAACAAGGATGAACAGTTGCACAGGTATGAAACTGCCTATTATATGGACAAAAATAATTACAAAAAATTTCATTTTTGTCTTGGGCTTTTTTGTTGTTCTTGTAACATTTTAGGCAGAAGTTGATACATTAGAAAAAAAGAAAGAAATTAAATTGTCTTTTCCTCCAATAATTTTGAATTTAGCTTCTTGTAAATGAAACTGTTTTCAGCTATTTTAGATCCAGAAAGAAACATAAATCAAGTATGGCATCCACATAAGAAGGAAAAAAGGTGTAAACAGTTATTTTCAGATGCTGAACTACCAGCCCTCTGTAATGGATACAAGACACGAGAGATTATTCTTAAGGGTGTTGAACAAATGGATAGGTTTTGAAAGTAAAATAACAATTATACTATTGTCTTAGCCACTGAGTTTGTGAGATCCTCTCACAGCAGATCATAAAAAAGGTTCTTCAAGTTATATAAGTATTCTGTTGGCCGTTTTCTGATGTAAAACTTCATATGGAAGCATAGTGATGTACCCCTACATGGTTTAAAATTTAGCTGGCCAGGCAAGGTTTGAGTTGCAAAAAATTTGAATGGGATGACCACGCTTGATACCTCGTATCATGTGATAGCTCTGAAATATTGCAGTTCCCATCTACTTTTATAACTTTCAGTAAGAACTGTCTCTTGTTTTGAGAAGCACTTGTTACATTATATTTCTCACATATTTAATTAAAAATCAGATTCTGTAAGTGCAAGATGGCAGACAAATATTTTTTTTTCTTTTTCCCTCCACCAATTAAAAAAACACCTTATTCTGACTGACTACTTTTAAATAATATATTCGCCTCAAAATTTTATATTGAATCCTGTCTATTCAAGAAAAGGATTATACGAGTTTGAAGTTAGCAAAGGGATATGAAAAATTGTTGGTAGGCTCACATTTGTAGATAAGAGAAAGATTTGCTGGATTTAAACATCAACAAATTCAGAGTTGAAAACACCCATCTGCAGTCTTTATTAGGTTATATGTTGTTAGAGAAATAAAGTGCATAAGATTTCCTAATAAGTTACTGCTACCATTTCTGTAATATAAAATATAATAATCACCTATGGTACTTGCATGGGTTCAGAAGTATTGCTTGAAAAGGAAATTTGCTAACTGCACAAAAATCCACAGTCTAAAAAAAATGCCTTGTTGGGATAAAGAAAGAAGATTTGTTAAATAGGAAGAATCAGTGACAGAGGTCATATTAATCATTTCTTGAAGTAAATGTCTTACAAAACAGAAACTGCTACAGAAAAAGTTCTCTATCATTTCTCACAGGCTATTGAGTATAGTTTTGACAGTAGACCTCAGGGACAAGTTAGATTTCATGTCACAGATTTTGTAAAAATTTCCTTTTGATTTAAGATCGATGAAACTATTACCTTGTAATATAAATAACTATAAACAGGTACATACATTGTCAGAAGCCTTTAGTTATGTTTTTTAATTGCCTCATTCTTTCGTTTGATGTTAGATTTGTACGGCGGCTGATGTATTTTTACAAGCCTAGCAGTAAATTGTATGCCAATCTAGATCTCGATTATGCAAAGTCAAAACAGCTCACAGTTGTTGGTTGTCAATTTACTGAATTTCTCCTTGAATCTGAAGAGGTAAAAATTATTTACTTTTTTAGCCATAATTAAAAACTGGCAGATACCTATTTGATGTTATGCTAAATGCAAAATTGTACCATTTATACCAAATTATCAAAACAGGAAATATTTCAGTGGAAGAATTTAATTCTGAATCTTTACAATTAAGTAGGAAATGCAGCTTAATTTGGGGGCAAAAATAGAATTCATAAAATATATGCTTATTCTAAGTTATAGTAGAAATGTAACATAAAAGATATTGGTAATGTTTTGCTTCAGTAAATAAATTTAAAATTAAAAAAGTACGGCATGCGTAAAATCCTTTGAAATGATTATTCCTCTTCTTAACTTTGCACTACATGGGAATATAAAATAAACATAATTAAATGGTGCCTGATTAAGTAGATTTTCTGCTTAGTCTGACTGCTTGTCAAGTAGTAATGCCACATGTTTTGTTTAAATACCTGAGGCAGCACAACATTTTGGAACAATCATATTAGATTACTTATAAAAAATAACTAATTAATGCACACCAACCAATTTCAAAGTTTATTTATTAATCAAACACATAACACATAAGTTGCAATCAGTTCAGAAACAATAAAATTTTAGTTATACTGCAAAAGTCTTGCCTTAGTTGATACATTAGCCAAGAAACTTACGTCTTTCATGCTTCAAGATGCATTCTAAGAAGATGCACTTAGAAATTAAAACTTAAACGGTAGTATGAACTGGCCTGATCTGCTTCAGAATATTGAGTGGAAGTGATACATGGGTCAATCAACATGCCCTTTTGCCCCTCAGGAAGGAAGACAGGAAGGAAAGAAGGAAGGAAGGCAGGTGCAACAAAAGGTAGATACAGACTTAACAATTATCTACAGTTTCTACATGTTCACCTTTTGCATTTCTAACTTTCTTTGATGTGCAAAAGGTAAATAAGAATTGTTTGTTTCGGTTCCTTTTCTTTTTTCTTGATTTTCTTTGACAAAACTCATTAACGTGTAGAAGAAAACGACAGAAGATTAAGTTCACTTTTGCCAAAACCTGGTTTTGACTTGGCACCTTCTCTTTCCGTTGTTAGCTTTGGAAAAAATGTGGATTGCCTGTGGATTGTTTATATTTATTGCTGCCATAATCCCCGTAGGAATGACTTTCACTTTATATCAAAATCATCTAAGGCATTATCAAGACTGTCTCCACATTTCACATGTAATCTAAATTTCTTAAAAACAACTTCCCAGTATTGTTGCAAACATTTTTTTGTATTTTTTTTCTGTATTACATAAGCACAGATTTTGAAATATCATACATTATAGAAATTTTATAATATTTTCCTTTTGTTTTACTTTTCTGTGGAACTGAGCAGTTGATTGTTTTATACCCCAAAAAAGTTGAAAATGTACTGTTGTGGGGTTTGTTTGTTTGTTTGTTTGTTTGTTTTTTGAGCAAGGAAAATTTGCTAAAAGTAACCTGAATAAAGTTTTTTTTTTCCTTTTAAAGCAGGATGGGCATGGCTATCTTGAAGAGTTAGTAAGAGATATTGTGCACTGGCTTAACATTTCTTCGGGACTGAAACCAGAACGCAGTCTCCAGAACAATGGTTTACTTAACACACTTAGTCAGCACTACTTCTTATTTTTTGGTACCCTCTCCTGTCATCCCCACGGAGTGAAAATGCTTGAAAAGTGTAATGTATTTCAGTGGTATGTATTTAGTTACAGAAATAGTTTTTGAAATGTTGAGGTTCCAGAAACTTAAATATAGAAATTATCTTAATGTGTGTCATCATTGAATGTGTGGTAAACTATAGTTAGCTGTGACTAGTTGACATTAACTTTTTTATTTTTGGAGAAGCAATGTTATTTTAGATTTTATTTGTAAAAAGATTGAACACGAATTACCAGCAATTTAAAAGACTGTTGAAGAAAATAAATACATTCTTAATGCTTTTTGAGTAAACATTTCATAATTATAGAATGTAATGAGAGCTAAGCACTTGTCATTTCCCCTGGAAAAATAGTAGAAAAAATTATTATGCATTGTTTAAATGCCATAATAATACTATTGTGTGTTTTATGATGTATACTACCTAGAGTCACTTATTGAGATGGACAGATATAGAACTCATATAAATAAATACATAACATTTATTGGAAAGTAACCTAGGCAAAGTTATTCTTTGCCCCAGGTAACTTGAAAATTCAATAGTAGCAGAGACATCAATGGAAGAACAGAAAAATAAAAAAAATGTAGGTAGAGATCACGCTGCTTTTTTTAACTAGGAATATATCTTTTTAGATTCTGTTTTAGTTATAAGAATATATTTGTATTAGAATTCTATTCATTTCTCATTTCTTTCCAGTCTCCTTAATCTGTGTTCCTTGAAGAACCAAGATCATTTACTTAAACTGACAGTTTCTAGTTTAGACTACAGCAGAGATGGCTTAGCAAGAGTCATCCTTTCTAAAATCCTGACAGCATCAACCGATGTAAGTGAAAGGCAGATTATTTTATTCATGTTTTCATGGTATGGTACAGAAGCTGAAATGTTTGAATCCTTTCTCAGACATAAGCTTGAAACTAACTGGGTGATCTGAGTCAGCCATTTTCTTTCAGCCTTCATACCCTTATAAAGGAATGTCCTGAAAGATGGTAAGAAATATATCATAATACTGTATATAAACTTAACAAAAGTAAGCTATTTATTTATTTGGTTTTAGTCATCTGCCATGTTCATGGCTCCTCAGCTGGTTTAGGCGGTGAAATATAATACCAACATAGTAATAAAATAATATAAATATAACCAATTTTTAAATAAATTGTTACAATAAAACACAGTGAATCATGCTAAACAAAAGTAAACCTTTACATAGAGCCATGGAAAAAGCTGAATTTATAAAGCTGCATTATATGTGGCCATTTATACATTTCTCAGGGAATTCTTTATCATCAATTATTATTTCTGCTGTGGTTTACTTTACCATATCTGTCCAAGTTAATTAGTTCACACTTATGCAGAAATATTGAAAATTCAAAGGGATTCACAAATTTTTAAGTATGATTGTACACTTAAACACTATAGCCCAAAGAAATCTGATTCTGAATTAAATGTCTTTCTCCCCCCCCCCCCCCCAAAAAAAAAAAAAAAAAAAAAACCACTGGAAGGTTGTTAGAAAGAGCTTGTCTGTGTCTTTTACTGTAATTATAGTGAAAATGATGTTATTTCTTCCCCTTCCCATTTAAGGAGAATATTGGAGCAGGGGACCTAATCTTGTTTTTTATTTTCTTTCAATTAAATGTATTTGGGGAAAATATTATGGATGGCAGAAGCTTATGAATCAAGTAGACTCCAACCTTGGTTTTGATTTGAAATTAACATTAATTGTACAATGACATGTTGTATATGTAAACCCAATTGCTAACCTTGTTCCATTTTCTGGTTTTCCAATGATCTGTTTCTTTCTTTCATAGAATTGTAGGTTGTATGCTACAAAACACCTCCGCGTACTTCTGAGGGCCAATGTGGAATTCTTCAGTAATTGGGGAATTGAGTTACTTGTCACACAGCTTCATGACAAAAATAAAGCTATTTCTTCTGAAGCACTTGATATCCTTGATGAAGCATGTGAAGACAAGGTGAGACCTTGTTATTTAATTGAAGAAGAAATAAGCCTTATTTTTATATTAATCCTGCTTATATATCATATTAATGATTATATTGTTATTATATCACATTAACTCTGTGTCTCTTGTCTTTTTTTAGGCTAATCTTCATGCCCTCATTCAAATGAAACCAGCACTTTCTCATCTAGGAGACAAGGGTATGCTTCTGCTGCTAAGGTAAATGTTTACTGTATTGTTCAGGTGAAAACAAGGTAGTTAATATGCATTTGCTCTGAATGTATTTTATAAACAATGATTTGTTTTGTTTTGTTCAGATTTTTGTCAATCCCCAAAGGGTTTTCCTATCTAAATGAACGAGGCTATGTAACAAAACAAATGGAGAAATGGCAGAAGGTATTTAATTATCAAATTGGAATCATTCCTTGGAACTCTGTTATATGTGTCAGCTATTACGCTGCGGCTTTACCTGAGCCTACTTTGTTACCAGCAAATATTAGGGACACAAGTGCTCATAAGGAAGACTATTAATGCATTGATTTCAGAATAATTTTATATACGTGTAGTGTTCGCTTAACAACCATTCATTCAGAGATTGTTTGAAGTTATGGCAGTAAGGAAGAAAACAGCAGGGTGGCCAAAACAGCAGACATGGAGAAAAATAGACAAGTGAGAGGAGTTTAAACAGAGATGAGCATGGCAGGGCAAGAAAAGCATAAGATCCTTGCCTAACAACAGTGCAGTTCTAGTCTGATGAGCAAAAACAGGACTATTGAATATTCTGTCACTAAACAGTGTGGTAACTTGATACATAGCTAAAAACCAGATGATTTAAGGATGGAAGTTCTGGTCCCAGGTAGCAAGAACTACCACCTGTACCTATTCAGATCCTTCCATGTTTTTGGTCGTCACCCGATTTGGTCGTGATCAGAAGTGTTCGTGACCAGAGGTTCTACTGTAATATTAAAATTGTTTGAAGGTAAATCACATGTAATATTGTTTGGATGGAAGAAGAAAAGTCAAAAAAGGGCAATTTTGGATAGGACTAATTTGGAGAATGTGGATCAGATGTAACTTTTTAAAATTGCTTTGTCTTTAAATCCTATCCAAAATTGCCCTTTTCATTAGAAGTGCTTGCTGAAACTAAACTAACATTTCCTCATAACCTGTGAAAGTATTGCCCTACTGAAAGGGGCTGTGTGGGTTTAATAATGGGAGAGCTTATCTTTTGACTATTTTGCATGATGAACGTCTTGGTGTAACAAATGAAAGGAAAGGCATTATCATTGATGCCAACTATCCCAATTGGTTATAGAAAAATAAACTTATAACCAAATAGAAGAGTTGTATAGGATAATCAGGCTTACTTTGTAAAATTGTGAACCTGAATCAGTGGGAATTGCACTTTATTGATCTTGCTCCATCTTATTATCTCTCATAGAGACATGCTTTTGAATCATTTTGATTATAAAATCAACTTCCAGTCAGTATTTTATCATAGTGGTATTAGGAAATATTTTCTTACCTGGGTCATTATATAGTGTGTTTATTAATATAATTTATTGCTAGAGAAAATGTTTTTCTGAAGATCTCTGTATTCAATTATATCCTAGGAATACAATTTAAAATATGTTGACTTGATAGAAGAACAATTAAATGAAGCACTTACTACATACCGCAAACCTGTTGATGGTGATAATTATGTCCGTCGGAGCAACCAAAGGTAAAACAACCTTGACTCATTTGTTAAAGCAATGCCTATAGTTATGCAGATGGTTTTAAAATTGTTAGAATTAATTCAGTGCAAATTGACCGTTTTTCTTCCCCACAGATTACAGCGGCCCCATGTCTACTTGCCAGTTCACCTCTATGGCCAACTAGTACACCACAAAACAGGCTGTCATTTGTTGGAAGCTCAGGTGAGGAAATTTAATGTAACTGATTCAAATAAATTAGAATAGAATTAGAATAGAATAGGAATAGAATAGAATAGAATAGAATAGAATAGAATAGAATAGAATAGAATAGAATAGAATAGAATAGAATAGAATTCTTTATTGGCCAAGTGTGATTGGCCAAGTGTGACACACAAGGAATTTGTCTTGGTGCAAATGCTTTCAGTGTACATAAAAGAAAAGATACATTCGTCAAGAGTCAAGAAACATAAGGTACAACTCTTAATAATAGTCATAGGGTACAATAAGCAATCAAATCATACTAGGAAACAGTCAATATAAATCGTAAGGATACAAGCAACAAAGTTATAATCATACTCTTTTCACTATCTTTAGCATTTATTTGCCTATTCAGAAGTATGTAGCATAAACCACACTACAAGACAGTTTGACTAGACTTGTCCAGCATTGGCTCCATAAGAAGTCAAGATTTGTGAAATCACATAATTGCCAGAGTTCATGCACGCACTCTCCTTTTAACTGATGGGAATAATTGCTGAGGATTAATTTATAAGGCTAAGAAGTAAGACTTCAGCTTCTTGCTCCTTCACCCTTGATATTTTAATCCCTATTTCTTTAGACTACAGAAATAGATGGCCTCCATTGCAGTGACTCATTTGTTGTGAAAGATGTGAAAATGTGATTAAAAGCATAAATATTTGTATTTTATTATTAGCACTGCTCTCATATAAAAACAGAATTGAACACTTGATAAATAAATTAAATTGCACTGTGGTTGTTTTTGTCGTTGTTGTTTAGAGTATTGTTCCTGACCTGAGTTACACTGTCCGTTCCCCTATGTTGGAAAATTGGGAAGGGATTAAGCAACTAAAAGCTGCTCTTTGGGCACTGGTTAGTTAAAAATATTTATTTACTACATTTTAATATATATATATATTAAAAGCACAACTATAATGACATGGGAAAATAACCGAACAAAGCTGAATACCATACATGTAAGTACCCCTCTTAATCTTACACGGGAAAATGTATGTGTGTGTGTGTGTGTGTGTGTGTGTACGTGTATGTGTGTGTATATATATATATATATATATATATATATATATATATATACATATACATACATACATACATACACATACAACTTAGTTTCAGTGATCACCAGTTTGCTTCTATTCTGAAATATTTGTAAATTGCTATAGAGAGGTGAAATAACATATTAGACTTCGTTTGTATTGTTTCTTTTTAACTAAAAGTGATACTTAAAGCAGCTAATAATAAAATGTTAAATAATTAAAATAAATTATGAATGGAATTTATAAATATATTTTTATTTAGACAGACAGATGAACTTAGAAGAAGGAAAATGCTTTCTGAATGAAAATATAATTGTCAGCAGAACTATGTTATTTTTCTCTGGTTTGGAAGATGAGCTGGAAGGGTTTAGAACTTTGAAACAGTCATGAAGAAAATGGCTTTTTATGTTTCTTTAAGGGGTTTTGAAGGAAAGCATGCAGATTAGAAAAAATAAAAGCAAATATTTTGGGAAAATTAATTTGATAACTGCAGTCTTTATGGTTTCTCCTTTTTTTCATTATGCAAGTTTAGAGATTACATTGATCTATGTCCAATAAATAAAGATTGTCAAAGTTTGGCAGAAGCCATTCAACATTAATAACCCTGTGTCTTGCTTGTGGGAGGAATAAAAGGTTTCTTTAGCTTTTAAACTGTTTAACTTACCTGAATCACAAAGAAAACATTAGGACAATATTGCAAACATCTCCTAAAAAAAAAAACATGCTGCAATTTGGCTGCCAAAATTACTTTGCATCATCATGAGAAACATCATTTTTTCTTGGTTAATAAGGCATGGATATCACACTTTAGTTATCAAATTTATGGTTTTATCAACCTGCCCTTGGGTTGTTAATCCAAGAAAGAAAAGTTAAATGTTGGGGTGTTATACAAGGTATCCTGTGGGTTGAATCCAATTGTGCCCGTTACTCCTACAAAGGAAGACTCTTAGTAGAAGGGAATTTTACAAGTCTGTAATATTAACCACATTAACCATATTTTTATTGGTGAGAGTTATAAAATGGATTATGTTGATTTAAAAAAACATTCCTTGTGAAGTTGAAAATTAGACTATAATTGATGCCAATATTTCTAAAAGAATATTCTTTAATGGCTCAGGTAGATACTTATGTAACTAGAAACAGTGTACCAATTATGCAAAATCTGTTTTGAGTTTATAAATCACTGTCTTTCGCCAAACATTCCTTGATTTTCTATTTATTGACATTTATTTATATTTAAGGGAAATATTGGATCTTCAAACTGGGGATTAAATTTGCTTCAGGAGGAAAATGTGATACCCGATATAATGGCACTTGCCCAGCATTGTGAGGTCCTATGTATTAGAGGGTAAGTAGAACTTGAAAACTAGAAATGGCATTGTAAAACATCTGTGAACAGTTTACTTTGTCTGAGCATGAATATATTCAGATTTTTATATCATAGAGCTGAAAGAGACCTCAGAGGTCAACAAGAAAGCATTTTTCTATAGTTCAACTGCATTGCATTCCCAGTTAATTTAACTTCATAATAGATTTTCATTTGACTTTTATTTTCTAAATGCAGGACTTGTGTCTATGTGCTTGGCCTAATAGCGAAAACAAAGCAAGGCTGTGATATACTGAAGCATCACAATTGGGATGCAGTAAGACACAGTCGAAGGCAACCTTGGCCAGTAGTTCCCGATGATGTGGAGCAACTCTGCAATGAACTCTCTTCTATTCCCAGCACTCTTAGTTTGAACTCTGAATCTACCAGTTCAAGACATAACAGTGAAAGTGAATCTGCACCATCAAGTAAGCTATTTGGAAGCACTAGTAGCTAACAATTGTCTTTTTTTTATTTAAAAAAAGTAGATTACGAAGTTGGCTTTTTCCTTTGCATGTACTTCATAAAGTACAATATAGTTTACGTCATGCTATCTCATAAGTCTTTTTTTTGCTTTCCTCCTGTTGAGCAGAGGTAGATTAGAATCATATTGTAAGCCAACAAGAAAGTGCTTTAAACCTAATTAGTAATTTTGGTTTGTTTTGACAAAGAACATCATTCCAAATTATATTAAGGTAAATAATGTTACTTTTAATAATTTAATTAATGTTAATATGTTAATGTCAATAATGTGTTAATCCAGTCATAAATTAGCAAAGAGTTGGGCAAACTTTATTTTTGTGAGATGTATTTGTTGGTGAATTTAGCTCGCTTGTTTTGCTAGTAGTAATCAGTGATTTCTTAGCCAGAAAAACCTATGTGAACTCATTTTTGGAAAGGATGATTTAGTTTTTCCACATTAGCCCAGAAACCATTCATATAGTTAGCAGTTGCTTGCTTTTTAAGAAGTAAATTGCAAACCTGTGGCAGATCCAAATTGGGATCATGATACGGGAAGCAATGGGACTTTTAAACTATGCTGGGACTCATTTCAAGCATAATTTACATTTGAAAAAACACACCATTTTTTCTTAATTGTATTATCAATGTCAGAAGTACATGAAAATGTAGATCTCAAATGCATCCTTAAATAAGAACACTTATGTAAAAATTTAAATTGACGAAGACAATTTCATAAATACTTATCATGACTAACATGCTGGGGTGAAATCCAGGTATTTTATCGCTAAATTGGAGGGGAAATTTTCCTAGGCTATAGGCCTAATTGTAAAATGATATTGGTAAAGATTTCCTTTCATCCCCAGTAGATTCTTACACTCTTCTGACTTTTAGAATATGTAAGAGGTCACCATATACTTTTTGCTTTCGTATAATGTTCAGCTTCTTTGAAGAACCAGCCTTAATTACCCAAACCTTTGTGGATCAAAAACATGAGTTTGTTTCCATTCCAGGCATGTTCATCCTGGAAGATGACCGGATTGGCAGCACCTCCACTAGCACATTTTTCTTAAATATCTCAGAAGATGCAGAACAGAATCTCTATGACAATACCGGGCCCGTGAAGGATAAGGACCGCAATCCCTTCCCCTTTTTCTCCTCCCGCAGACTTGTCAGGAATCGCATCTTGAATTCTCTTACCCTGCCTAATAAAAAACTGAGGAGCAGCAGTGATCCCAAAGGAGGCAAGCTGTCTTCCTTGGAGAACAAGATGGGCTTAAGGCGAAACCGGACAGTAACAGAACCTTGCAGCAGCATGGATTTTACACGAGGAGATGACTTTACCCCGGTATTCAAGGTTCCTAAGATTCACACTCTGAAACTAGAAACTTCATTTATTGGGAGCAAGCATAGTGAAGATGCAGATAGTACTCCAAGTATTGGTGAAAATGACCTTAAGCTTCCCAAAAGTCTTGGCCATGAAAATCATAGGGAAAACTCCAGCCGAGAGAGACTCATAGAAGTTTCTACGCAGACTCATTTCAAAAGTCGTAGTTTAAGTTTCAATACAGACACGACCACAAGTGGCATAAGTTCAATGAGCTCCAGTCCTTCCCGAGAGACTATGGGAGTGGATGCTACCAATATAGAAACTGACTGTGGGAGCTTAAGTACTGTGGTGAGTACCAAGACCATTAAAACAATTCAGTGTTCAACCCCACAATCTAACCACCTCCCTCTGTCAAAATCAAATTCTGTCTCCCTGGTACCACCAGGGTCTTCACACACGCTTCCTCGGAGAGCACAGTCACTAAAAGCTCCTTCCCTCGCTACTATAAAAAGCCTGGCTGACTATAATTTTAGTTACACCAGTTCTCGAGATGCATTTGGATATGCAACCCTGAAACGCCTGCAACAGCAGAGGATGCATCCCTCTCTGTCACATTCCGAAGCCCTGGCTTCTCCAGCAAAGGATGTACTCTTCACAGACACAATCACAATGAAGTCTGGTAGTCTAGACTCTCGACTAACACCCAATCGGTAAGTAATATTGTCTTCTGCTTTTCTTCATTTAAATTAGGTTACCATGGAAGATAAATTATTTTTTAAAGAAATACTGATGTGTTTATTGTCTCAGTGCATTTTGACAAACATCTGTTTTCCAAGAAGACTTTTATCTTTTACCTCTGTTTAAACAGCTGTAAGGGGTCAAGATGTGAAGGGAGAATTAGCACTGCTTAAACCAGATAGAATAACTGTGTAATCATGGACAGATGGATTCCAGTTTTAAACCTGGGGGGAAAACAGCCAAAAGTCCATTGGTTTAAAATGATGAAAAGAAAAGGTGTTAAGATTTAAACATCTAGGGGGTTGATTTCTGTGTTTGGTAGTAGTAAATCTCATGTATGTGTATGCTGCTTTTCTTGCTTGCAATTAAACTAATTATCTAGGAGTATGAAGTCCTTGAAGGTACTGCTGCTATCCATTTCCTGAACATTTCTGAAAAAATCAGAGATTTATAGTTAAAAGGGACCTGAAATTGCTCTAATCTGAATGGTCTTGCTCATTCATATTCAAGTGAATTAACAATTTTCATATAATTTTACATTTAGCTATTCTCTGACCATCTGAGGACCCAGATTGTTGGAGGCAATATGCTGACTCTGTAAACCTCTTAGAGAGGGCTGTAAAGCACTGTGAAGCAGGATATAAATCTAAGTGCTTTTGCTATTGCTATCTTGTTTTTAGAGGTGTTAGTAGCCTCTAAAATCACACACAAAAGGAGTGTGTCTTGGTTTGTGCTGCTAATATCACCCATCTTTTCTGATTTGACACCCCACCCTCCTTTTCATGCCACTAATGCTTCCAGCTTATAATGGATAGCATGATATCATTCAAATTCAGAAAGCATCAGAAATCTATTTTATTTAATCAAGAACAGATAAATATTAAGCAGCATATTGTGATTTTGTACTTTTGGGATGATCCTTCAAGTCCTGGTGACTGCCTGGACTAATCCCTGCAATTATCTTGGCAAGATTTTTGGAAGCATCATGCCATTTTCTTCTTCCTAGGGCTGGGAGAGAATGACAAGATCACCAAGCTGGTTTTATATCTAAGGCAGGATTAAAACTCATGGTCTTCTGGTTCTAGCTTGGTGCCTTAACCACTACACCAAACTGGTGCTTGAAGTAAAATTAGCCATGGTATTTTAAAATATAGTACTCATTATAATAAAACCATGTCTGCTATTCCAATATGCTCCTTCTGCATGTTACAGGTTCATGAGAGCTTTGAGCTACGCATCATCCTTAGATAAAGAAGATTTATTAAGCCCTATAAACCAAAATACACTGCAGCGTTCTTCTTCTGTTCGTTCCATGGTGTCTAATGCTACCTATGGTAGCTCAGACGATTACATTGGACTTGCTCTCCCGGTTGACATCAATGAGATATTTCAGGTATGTGGACCATATTTTTATCTTAAGTGAGGGAATTAGTCATATTAAGCACTGTGTTGCTATTCTACATGAAACATTTAATTTCACTCCGAGCAATATATAGAGAACATTTCACTTATAGGAATATTGCTGAATATTAAATACTTCACACTAGCGCTACTTGGTATTTCCAGAAATAATGACTATTTTAAAAACTCGGTCTGCATAACTTTTTGTCTTAAAATATTTTAGGTAAAAGAAACCCCCTATTTCCAGAAGAAAACTATGATTTCATATGATGATCGGGGCACTCGAGTCTTTGCCCAGGATGCTTCAGGTATGCTTTCTATTCTCTTTTGGCTTACATGGTTGCCTGCCACTTTTCCTAAGCTCTACACCTCCTTTAGGAAGAAAGGGTTTATTCCCAACTGCTGATTTCTAAATCCTGTGATCTGAAATACGAAGGTCATGTTTCATAGCACAGATTCCAGGACTCTCTCTTCTGAGAGTATATCCAAAGCATTGTGCCTTATATTGTGCCTTACATTCAAAGGAAAGTATCTTCATACAAATAAAAAAATGAGATATAGGGAGGTAATCTATGGTAGGACATTATTTCACAGCATCTTAATTTTGCATATCTCATAAAGTCAGGTTTATGTTATATTAGCACAGGCCTGGACATTTTACTGCCCACAGGTCACATGTGGCCTTCAGATGATCCCAATCTGACCCACGGTTGCAATCAGATATCAGCAGTGGTGCAGCATTGGTGGTGTGCAGTAGGGGCCACAGTAGCAGTGGAGCCCACCACAACAGTCCAATTCTCATGTGGCCCCTTGGGAAAATAAATTTCCCACCCCTATACTAGCAGAATATGCCCCAAATGTTCTCTGGAACCACTTGATAAATGAAGTATTGATAACATTTTTGTAAGACACAAGGAAATAGACATTTATTACAGCGTGCTTACTTTATGTGGCTTCAGCAAAGTTCCCTTAACAACTGAAATTTATTCAGATGTGGGCGTATTTTATATGCCTTTAAAGCATTATAGGAATTTATTTATTAAATTTATTTGCCACTCATCTCATTTTGAAGCAACTCTGGGCAATTAATTGCAGAAGGTGCTATTGTATTGCTCCATTATGTTCTATTTTCTCTTGCTTAACCAAATGCTTCCAGGTTTGCCATGTGAGTCTGCTGAGTTTGTAAAGAGTCCCTTCCAGATGCTTCGTCAGCAGATAAGTCTTACGGAGATTATGAACACAAGTCGTTCAGATGCCTCCCAGTTCCTAGAAAACATGGAAGACACTGGACTCCAAGAACACACTGAAGATAATTGTCTCTATTGTGTTTGTACACACATCCTCGAATGTCAACATAATAACAAACTGAACTCTGCATATAGTCACCTAGGTTAGTGCTATCAGGTAGACAACTTGAATCTGATCTGCAGTAATTAGAAGACTGAAGCTTTGTCTATTCTGTTTCCATTTTCTGATGCTGCTTCAGATAGAATTCCAAAATTTATTTCATAATCTTGAAAGCTGGAAATCTTCGTTGAATGTTTAACTTCTCAGGGTGGCAAATCCTGTGGAAACTAACCTTTCCCATTGTTATTGTTGTTTTGAGGCCCGTAGGGCCTGCCTCATAAATTCATCATCGCAATACTTTTCCTTTATTAGTGCATTATTATCAAAATAGTAAGTTCATATTTGGTTGGATTGTTTCTAAGTTATTCAGTTCTGTATCATGTTGGGTTTTTTTTCTTTCTATGTAAATTATGTATATCATGATGGATTTTTTTTTCTATGTAAATTATTCCATCTATCTTATATCAAACTTTATCAGAATTTTCAGACATTCCTTATTCAGACTGGTGTGGAAAGGCTATGCATAATCATTTGGATGTGGTTTCACATTCCTCGAAGTTTTCTGGAATTTCAGGATGTAGTGATGCTGTATCCCATGGATCAGCTAGTAGTACCAAGAGTTCTGATCTCATCATAGGTGAGTTATTTTTCACAAAGGTTGCTTCTGATGCTTCTTGTTGCTTGGCTGTTGGATGCTTTCATCAGAAATCCCAGCTTTGCACCCTGCTTCTTAACACCAGAATAATCAATATTATTATTGATCATCCAGGCATTACTAACTTTCCTTTTTTTGTACAATTTCTGCTTTTATCTTTTCCCAATATTTATTTATTTATTTATTAAAATTATGTGCCACGCATCTTGTCAGAGGTGTTGTGGTTAGCTGGCAGCAGTGAGGAGGAGGTTCCCGAGGAGCCTGTGCTAAGTGCGAGTGAGCGCAGGATGATTCAAAGAAGAGCAGCACAGGTGACTTGGGAGTAAGAATGCTAATTAATGGCCCCTCCCTCCAGGGTTTTTGCTCTGTAGAAGGCAAAAACGTTCTAAGAAGCTCTAAGGACCCAGCATTGTGTGTAGAGATGCTGGCTTATCTGAAGAATTCTCTCAAGGCTTTTCTGGTGGGACTAATTGGCTTCAAGCCATCTTTTATCTACAAAGAAGTTTATTTGTAGATTAAAGCTGTAAAGATTTGAGTTACTGAGTGTGTCTGGTGTTTGCTCTCTGGGAACCTGGCTGGGTCAGAACAAGAGGTGACCCTAGGCAGCTTACAAATATTAAAACTAGTATACATTAAAATAATAAAATAATAAATAGCAGCAATAATAAATATCATTAAAAGATGGGGGAGGAGAAAAACATGGAGCACGCGGGAAAGGTGGGGTCTTTTCCTAATCCAATAGCCACCTCCAGAATAGTTCATTCCTATTTGGGAAGAGCTATATATGGTTTGGGCTTTTGATTGGGATTTAGATCATTCTGCTTGTTTTTCCACAGTCCCTTATGCGTAAGTATGTCCACTTGAACCAGAAGAAATAAGATTTGTACTTGACAATTGCTTTTATGCCCATTGCTCTGCATCTTTAAAATATATAACAGACTTTGTCAATGTTAACCAGTGATATTTCAGTCAGTTCAAATACTGTTTCCGTTTATCATACTGTTGAATTTCTTTTTTTCTAGGCATGAAATCAATCCCAGATGATACTCCAGTATGCCGCATACTTTTGAGAAAGGAAGTTTTGCGATTAGTAATCAACTTGAGTAGCTCAGTAGGAACTAAAGGTCATGAAACAGGTCTCTTGACGTAGGTGAAACTTCTCCCGTTGTTTTTAGCTTTTATAAGTAATATTCCTTTTATCTTTGAATTGGGAGTGGAATTGTTCACTTACTGCACACAAATCAGTTCACATTCTTTATATATACACACTTATATATGCAAGGAATTGCTAAGGAGTATGCCCATTTTTCTACTTCTTTTCACTCATTTGTCCAAAGTCTAGCCAAATTTGAATTATTTGGCAGCTGGGAGAGATTTCTTTTGGGGGAAATTGGTGAAATTATGGCTCATTATTTCTTCACAATTTTCCCCACATCATTTTCAGTGAAACTTATTGATGATCTAATTTCAGAATAAGCAGATATTAATAATGACATTAATTTGTGAGTCAAATTGCAGTAGTTGAAATCTATGTTAAAGTTTCATCATATAAGTCTTGAAAAACACATATCTGCTAAATTCCAGCTCTGTTTTCATCTACTTGAGATGCATGTTACCTGCGTGTGAAATTCATTTCAGATTTTGCTGCAGCCCTATCGGTCTGTGGCCCAGTTTGGTGTACTGGTTAAGGGATCAGGCTAGAAACTGGAAACTTTCATCTCTTCCTGCAGCCTGCCAAAGGATTTCAGCCCTAGGCACAGAGGGGTGATAAAATCCTTCAACAGGCTGCAGGAATGGCAGTATAACTCCTGCAGCCTAGTAAAAGTTTTCAGCTCCCCTCAGTGCCTAGAGCTGAAATCCTTTGGCAGGCAGCCTTTTTATTCAGCCCCCAGAGACAAGAGAGAAGTGTATCAGTAAGTGGCAGCAGATGGCAGCTTTCCCTGCCAGCTCTCCCACTGGCTTTCTGGGGAAACTAGCAAAGAAGATTGCAGATGGCAATCACATGATCATGGGTGGTCCTGGCAACTGGGCTAAGTGAAAACAAGGTTGCCAAGCACCAGGTTGTGATCATATGACTGTGGAGGGGGGAAAGGTTGGAAGTAATAGTTGGAAGTATTTTACAGATCATAAAACATACTTTCTGAGGCTGTTGTTAATTTGAACCATCAATATGTCAAGTCATATGTCAAGAACACCCTATATAGGTAATCCTCGACTTATAACAGCTCATTTAGTGACTGTTCAAAGTTACAATGGCACTGAAAAAAGTGACTTATGACTGCCTTTCACTCTTACGACTATTGCAGCATCCCCATAATCGTGTGATCAAAATTCAGACGCTTGGCAGCTGACTCATATTTATGATAGTTGCAATTGTCCCAGAGTCATGTGATCTTAGCACTTAGCAACATAAATTTGGAGCTCAATTGTGGTCCTAATTCAAGGACTACCTGTATTTAGATTAGGTTCCTTAAGCTTAATGAACCTAAATTATTTGCATTGTGTACTTTTTCATATTTTATTTAAAATGCTTATTTCTCAAGATTTGCTTAAATATCAGATCCATGTCTCAAGTTTGATGGAACCTTTTTAAAATATGCTTCCTTGTTCTTTATGGTCCAGAATTAAAGAGAAGTTTCCCCAAGCATTTGATGATATATGCCTTTACTCTGAAGTATCCTACTTGCTAGCTCACTGCACTTTTCGATTGCCATCTAGACGGTTCATTCAAGAACTCTTTCAAGATGTACAGTTTTTGCAGGTGAGTAGAATAAAAATCTAATGACCTCTGGGGAAAGGAGGCACCGAATTGGTGCCTCATATAAGTTGCCTTGAAAACTCTGTACATGCTATTTTCTTCTAGATGCATGAAGAAGCAGAAGCTATTTTAGTCTCGCTGTCAAATCAACAAACAGATAGCCCATCAACTGAATCCTGACCTCTTGTTTTCCATGATGTGATAAATGTGAAGTTACTAGTAGCGTTCAATAACACCTAACTGACTGGGCAACCGAGAAGTACCATCTTCTGAATTGTTCGAGGAATTCTGGTACATAAAATTGGATGCTCAGTTGTAGAATTTTTCTTCGATGGAACTTGCTTCCAAAGCCATCTGAGCCCTGAGGGGGGATTGTTAAAACAGTGAAAGTAACAAGATATGCAAGAAGAATGAAGCACCAGACACTTATGCAGGTTTTCATTTCACTTATTTTTAAATGCAATGTCACAAAAATAGAGGACAAATTACACGGGACCTGGTTTACATGGTTGACTTTTGACTTCCGTTTTGGACAGTTGATGCCTTGCTTGTTTACCCTGGATTTGAGAGACATGGTATCTTAAGCTGTATCCCATTGTCATCAATGGAGCATGCTATAACCATGACATCGGGAATTAATTAGGGGATTTCCTTGATATATTTCTTAATTTTTGTGAACACTACTTGGACAATTTCTGCTCTCAGAGAATCTTCAGTAGGTTTGGGAGTAACCTTAACTTATTTTATTGTTATAATATTAGCAATCTGTCCAGTTTTGTTGCAGTTTCATGTAATTATGTTAAACTGAACCAATTAATGAATTTCACTACAGTTTGAGTTTAGAAAAAAAAAACCACCATTCCCCTCCATGTAATGCATGCATTGTAATGGGGTGTTCTACATTAATGTTCATCCAGTAATTCACTGAATATCTAAAGTAGATCTTCAAAAATAATAATTTATGTCAAGTAAAATTATTGCTTATTGCTGCTTTTTATCAAGAAAAATGCAAAATAATAATTTCACATTCCATGGCTTTAAATTTGCTCCTAATCATTTGCTTCAATCACGCAGACGAAAGATTAATGGCAAGATAATACCAATAATTGTAGTGAAAAGCCTTAAACATGCAGTGTTGAAGTGCTACATTGCTATAATTCAGAGGTGTCTTTGGTAAAATTAGCACAAATTGTGTAATAATGATGGTATGTAGTTCAATTATCTCCAATCTCTAATTTATGCAAGTATGAGATTGAAACAAATTGAATTGAAAAGTCTCTTTTAGAATCAAATGACTTTTTCCTGTACATACAAATGTGTAATTGCTTTGTTTACAAAACCTGTAGCATTATTTGGTCATTTCTTGTGTATGGAAATAATTCAGGTAGACTGTACTGGGAATATGTCCATCAAAGTTTATTTCCCCTGACAAGTGTGGAAAGATTTGCTTGTTTAGATGAAATTAGCTCAGTTTTACACATATATTTTAACTGAGCCTAATTAACATGCATATATATATATATATATGAATTTGTTCTTAGAGGCATATATACATTTACATTTGTTATGAAATCTAGCAATGTCTAGGTTCAGTACATTGTCATATCAAAATATGAGTTTGTTCTCCAGTTCTAAAAGAAAGCAAACACCCTCATTACAGTCATACTGTTGGCTAAGAAAGATGAAGCAAGAGTTTATATGTAAATTGAATCTTCAGGACTAGTAATCATAGTTGAAGTAAAATCTCAGAGTTGAAGAGCCAGGAGATAGTTCGTTACACATAAAACTGAAAACAAGTTTTTTTCCCTGCCATCCTGAAATGGCCAGGTAAGACATCTGAAGATTAAGGCATTAGATCACTTTTTTTAAAAAAAAATCTCCTTGCAAGAATTAGGCACCAATCCCCGAATCCTTAGAATAAACCTGAGATTCTCTTCCTGCCATTTTGGCCGGAACTATATTAACTGATCCACAAATTTAAGTACTGCTGTATGGGATACTTTCCAGGATAGCATTTTTCTAGAGAAATAGAAAACTGAATGAAGATACTGGCCTGAACAAGAGAGTCAGTTCACTCTGATCCATATCTATAATTCCCAAAAGAAAGTTACCTCTAAGATATGTGACTTACGCTAATTCATATTCTAGCTTCTAACTTATCTCAACAACAAGTTATTCAATAGCTAAGAACCCACAAACCAGATAAAGGCATTCTAAGAATATGGGACACAGTTATTATGGATGAAGCATTTTCTTCCTCTTCCTAAGACCTTTTAAGGAAATACATGCCTTCTACCTCCAAGCAGAAGTTTACATTACCTCATTATACTGCTTTGAACATTCTAGGTGGGAGATACGTCAGAATAATTGAGTCAGTCTAATTCTCTTTAAGATATTGGAGTATGTTACTTTGGTACATAGACAATGCAGTATGGATAACCTAGAGAACTGTCATAAGGAGTTTTACCATTCATGGCCAGAGCTGAAGAATCTTAAGGAGAGTTAATAATGTTTTGCTGTTACATTTCTAGACATGAAATTTGAGTGTCTATTGAGAATATTCTTATTATTTCTCTACTTTAGTGACCATTTAGAAACTGAGCAACTGAGAAAAGGAGCACTTGGAGAAATTTCAAATATTTCATTCTCAGGTTTGAAATATCTCTTTAAATACAGTATTTTAAGTTGGTGGGGTTTTTATTTTATTTTTTGTAGTTTCTGTTCTTTCAGGTTTTTAGTTTAGAGACCGCAAGAGGGAATGGGGTACTCTCTGCTTCCTGTCCATGTGGTTTTTGTTTCTGAACCATGGAATAAAGTTTATGTTAGGAGCAGATATAATCCAGAGAGAAGTGTGTGCCACTGAGTAGATTTCAGCATCTTCTCCTCTCATGACAGTTTGCCAAAATTGCATTACAATAATTTATTGAACATCTGGAGAGCCATGAAGTTAGAGTAGTTCCCAGATTTCTATAAGAACCTCCTGAGGAAAAAATAGAGGGAGGGGAAGAAATGGGTCAGGAAAAATTAAAGGAAGGGCTTCAGCTCGTTCATTAGGGTTCATTAATAATTTTCCATCAATATTCAGAGATGCTTTGCTCATAAATGAAACTCCTGTGATAACACTCCTGTGCAGAACCAAAATGGCAGCCACAGTGTAGACCAAATGGTGGTGTAAATTCCAAAGGATTCATACAATACTTCCAGTAAAAAAAAGCAAATAGTTGATTGTACATAGTAGTTATGAATGCTACCTCAATAATGATGGAGTATTAAGATCTATAGATCGATAACTCTTAAATGAAATTAATTCATTTATTCTGTGTTTTGCATATTTGATTTCAAGGCAAAAGTAGATGAAAAAGTTTTCTTTAAAACAATGATATTTCAGTTTTCAACTATAGTTGTTACTGAAAAAACAGGGAAAATTAGTTACTGAAAAAACAGGGAAAATTTAGTTACAGGGAAAATTAAAAAGTAAATTCAGCTAAATGTACTAATATATCCACTTAGATAATAATACATAGGTATACATAACTTTTTGACATTTAAAAAAAATAGAATTTTGGCTTCTGTTCAGAATACTGCCCAAGATCAATTGACCTTAGCTGTATGGGCAACAGCATCATCAAAAATTAAGTGAATTTGGGTCTTTGCATTAAAATACAAATAGATGGTAGCTGTAGTATCTGAACCAATATTGCATCTATATGATGTTATACTTATTTTGTTAATTAATTGGCTGTAACAGAACATACCTGGAATCTGGGTAGAAATTCATGTATTATGAATTCGTTTTACTTATTGTCACATGATCAGTCATTGACTTCTTACATTAATGAACATATATTTATACCCATAAAGCTACATACAGATCAACAGCTTTTGCAATTGGCAAGTAGAATGAAAAGGTTTATGGAGCCCCATTTGATTGCCATTGGGTGATGGGTTGCTTTCAGCTTAAGTACTTTTCTGAAGCAATTTCTCCTTGATCACCAAACCCAAAATTTGGAGTAAATACAGAAGAACATGGAAGAAGTCTACACTTGCATTATAGATTACAAATATGATGGGAATGGTATCAGGGCTGTACATGCTGTAAAATATTTTGGCAGAAGCATTTGTAAGCATCACGCAAGGTAGCAGCCATGTTTTTTTCAAACTTCTGCTTTAAAAGTTAACATTAAAGCAGCAGCAGCTCTTTTTTTTAAGACTCTCAGAGAAGTTTTAATTAAGAACTGGGAAGTGTATGGGATTCACAGCACTTTTTTGGAATTAATTTTCAAATGATACACAACCCTGATATCCTTGTCATTTTGAAAGGCTTGGATTGATGGCATAATCCAAAAATGCTGTAGAAAAAAAATCCTATCTAAATGCTCTTTCTCATTACTGAAAGGATGAAATAATTTGGAAAGACATTTAATGCTTGTGACTGCTTTGGAATGGACCCTCATAGCATGTTGCTATGTTTTGCTATGTTTCTCTCCACCCACTTCACTCAGCCACTGGCAATTATTTGTACCTGGGATATTTAAAGAGGCCTTCTTGGAGTATTTATGTATGGCGGGAGGAGAATGAAAGAGATAACAAGTTATGAATGGCAAAGCATAACTGTTATTTTCTATCTTCCTTATGATGCATTCCAAGGGAGAAAGGATAAGCAAGTGTGAATAATCAAACTTGCAATTGATTTTTCACATTCAGCATCTCCATCTCCTGTGATACAGATCCCGAAGTACCTTGATTTTAATATAAGCTTACAAAACAAGCATAGAATTGAATCTTGTCTTTGTTCATGTCAAAGCACCCAATTTCTACTAACTCCCTTCTCCCACTGCAACTTTTCATATAATTCCCAAGATTCCTTCAGATCACAGATTGTGGAGGAGTCACAAAAGCTCTATTTTTATGTTCCACTCACAGAATAATCCTAGGCCCCATTTTATAACGACAGCAAGGTCAAGAACCTAAAGACATCACATAAATAAAAGATAGATTTAGATATTAATCTGTGGGGACATAAAATGCGTATGTTGGCCTCTAATATTTGTCAAGTAAAAGCTATTTGCAAGCACACATGGGGTCATTTCATCTGTACCCATACATTTTGGAACCAATTGCATTTAAGTTGTTGCCTGAAAAGCACCATTAGGAACTTACTTTACTAAATAGGTTCTAGTAACTATTGTGAATCAACAAAAAATGCTCTCCAGATATGACGTAATTAGAATTAGCCACACAGCTCAATAGGCTTCCTGAACTTGATCATCCTCAATAATAGTGGACAGAATCCCTTTATCCCCTACCCTCGTGTGCAATAGTTGGAAGCATTGGGTTACAGTTTGTATCATGGAAAGATTATACATAGTATAAAAGTGATATAGGATACTAAACAAAGCCTTTGCAAAGTTAATAACCAGTTTATAACATGAACATTAATTTCAGATAGACGAGGCATAATCTAACCAACGACAGCATTTCTAAGGTTAGGAATGCTTAAGTTGAATCTTGCCTTGAATATGTTAATAATTCTTTCTGTATAATCAAGGGAAAATAAAATGTCCCTTGAATAATCTCTGTTGCAATAATCATAATTATCCTTTGATTTTGTGTGTGTGTGTGTGTGTGTTTTGCCATTTTGAATGAGGTAATGTGACACTGAAAAAGGATAAGGTCCCCCCCCCCATTAATATACCTTGGAAGCTACACAGCTTGGAGGTATAATAATAATCATCTGTTTCTAATACATATCCATGTTAGAAATTATCTAGCAATGATAGCCTTATTTTGATTTTTTTTAGAACTTTAGTGAGGATTACTGTATATTCTTAAAACTCCAGATTTGCTACACGTTTTGTTAACTTTTTACTTTCAGAAAAAAGTAAAGAATGTGGTTTTCCTTAGGACTATTTTTGTAAAATAGCTGGATAGCAATGCTACAGCATGCAGAAAGTGCACTTTTTTTTGCCTGACTTGCTTGTAAAATAGACACTATTTAATTTGAGGGGAAATATAATTTATGCCAAAAAGAAAACGGTATCTTGCTGCCATTTTGCGACTGCGTAGGTTAGAGTAGCACAGAATGCAAGAACTGGGAGAGGGGGAAACTATTTGTAAATATGATTATTGTGAAAAATGGGAAAATACTCTTCAGATAATAAATGCCAATAACCCAAATGATGCCTGGGTTGGAAATTATGTAAATTAGTCATTTGGAGTGGGTGGGGGGAGAGATTATGAAAAGACTCATTTTCCCCATCCCGTATGGTCAATTTTCCATATAAGTTAACAAGCTGCTACATATTTGGAGGTTCTATTGTTTGTAGGTCATTGAATGAACTTTGAAATCTGATTTATATTATATACCTGTAACATAGAAAGAAAGAAAAAGTATTTATATATTTTCTGTATGACAATTTCATGAGCTGTGTATAATTTTAAAAAGGCTTTGTCCCAAAAAGGTTCGGCTCACCTTGATTCTTTTTTGTTGTTTTCATTGGTTTTGAAATTGTTTTGTTTTGTATAGTGTGTACAGTTCATGTCTATGGATATTACAAGCCTCCTAAAGCATTATCTTCCTATCAAAGGGATACATTGTTAATAAAATGAACTTTAAACACCTTACAAACTTGTCTTGTTGTTTGTCAATTGTTATTTTTGCTGTCCCAAAGTCCTTTCACATTGAATGTTGAATAAAAATTGTCCTTAGTTTCATTTCTAGAAATGATGCAACCTATAAATCTTTTTTTTTTTTTTTTTGGTAAATTTTGAGTTTTCACAAAGAAATACAAATAAAACATCTTTTTTGAAAGTAGCGTGATCCCGGGTTACATTTCTTCGTACAGACACAAATTCAGTTTCATGCTCATTTTGATGTTCAATTCCATATCTTATTACTGTTTTACATTTTCTACATAGCTTCTCCCCTCTTTTAATTTTCTTAATTTTATTTTAATTATCTCATCTCAATTCAAATCATTATATTTATACTTTTTGTCTGTCCTACAAGTTTCTCCTGTAGTTGCTGATTGGAGTATGACACCTTTATATCTTTTAATTTTATCCATTTAAGCTTATATATATGCCTTAAAGTTATATTACATTCAATATAATACATAACTTCCATTCGCATTCTGCTTGGTACATTCTTAAAATACACACCATATTCTTGAAAAGAAAAGAAAGGATTATAAATATATGTAGTTAAAACAACACATTCCATTCCAATTCAATTCTATCATTAATGTTAATATTCTTCACTTCTTTAACATTACTTTTCAATTAAATATACTTCTATGGGAACAGTTATAAGCTTTCCATAATTAATTCCCCCCCACTTATACTTTATAAAACATTAACTAATTAAAATGTTCCCGTCCCTTCCTAATTCAATTCTCTCATTTATTTTATTTCATTTATTTTATTAACAAACATTTCACAAGATTACAGTAACTATTTTATCCCTCATTTTAATCATACATTGTTTCCAATTTTCTAAAATTATTTCTAATACTAATATAACAATACAATCTTATGTACCTTTACAGAATCCCTTTTTCAGTTAAATTTTCACCCATTATTTCTAAATAGGCCCTGTTTTTCTATATCTTGTTTCTGTCCTTTGTAACTTCTTTTCCTTTCCTTCTTCCCTCTCTTCTTCTCTCTCCCCTTTTTACCCCCTTGTCTCTCTACCTATATTTCTCTCTTCTGTATTCCCCTCTTCTGTTGTTTTCCAATATTATACTTATTTTTCGAACTATTTTTCTTTTCTTTGGTTGTTTTATTAAGTCTTAAATTCTCCATTCTCTTCCCCCCCCCTTTCCTTTTTCTTCCCCACATAGAATTGCTTGTTCATTAAAGATGGCTTCTTCTTTGTCCCAGTCTTCTTGTTGCGCAGACGTTTCTTGTTTCTCATAGTTCCAAATCTCCATTTCTAAGAATTGAAAAACGAAGCCAAAAGAACCTCTCCCTTCTTGTGCATCTTCTTTGTACTTTTTAAGTTCCATTTTCAATTCATCCAGAAGTAGTGTCATTGTATAAATTTTTAAACAACCACCCGATTAATTTTAGTCATTCAAATGCAATAACCAAGAATCCAATGATCACCAAGTAATCCAAATACATGCAAGCTATTTCTTTTTGCTTTTTTTCACTTTCTCTTCCTGGGGTTCTACAATTTAGTTGCCAAGTTTCAGTTAAAATGTATCTTTTAGAAGTCTTGTTGAAGTTTTACTGTAGATTTCTTTTAATTCCAGGCAGTCTCCTCCCTTTTTTCCAGATCCTGCCCTTTTATTCTTTTTCTTTCCTTTCCTGTTTATAAAAAACTTTTTAATGTCCAGAAATCTTTATTATCCCTTTGACATTTTATTTTATTTTCAGCTTAATTGCCTGTTGATGTCAAAGCGGATTTTTTTCCTGATTTCTTATTTAAGTCTCTTAGTTGTCACTATAGGGAAAGGGAGAGAAGAAGAAAAAAAGCCAAACCTTTCCCTTTTTCATTTTCCTTCGCTGCTTCCGAATCTTCTTTGGGAACGATGTTACTTTTTTTTAAGTTTAAATTCCAGGGTACCTTAGTTGTTGCTTTTGCAATTTAACCCGGTCAGCCAGAACTTCTTATCTTCCTCCTGCACATTCTTTTCCAGTCGAGTTCTTCTTTGAGGTGGCCATTTCTAACCACCGCTGCAACCGCCTTCGGGAAAGGGAGTAATGGCCAGCTGAGGAGGAGAGATGCGGCTCTCCTCAACCCTGTTGGCAGTCTCCCCCCTCTTCACCACCTCTACGGGGTGGCTTAGCACCGAAACCATCTGGCTCGGGGCGCTCCAGCGGCGAGCCCAGACTGAAACTGCACATGATCGTGGATTTCTGTCTGTCGCCAAAGAAGCTCAAAACCAGAAGCCCGCAACCTATAAATCTTGTTTCAAATTCGCAGATGACATTAAGCTGGCAGGAATAGCCAACACTCCAGAAGACAAGCTCAGGTTCCAAACAGATTTAAACAATGGGCCCTATCCAACAACATGAAATTTAATGTGGAGAAAAGAAAGGATTTATACCTGGGTAGGAAAAATAAAAGGTACAAGTACAGACTAGGTGAAACCTAGCTCAAAAACAGTAACACTGAGAGGGACCTTGGATGATTATTTAAACATGAACCAGTGGATGATTACTTAAACATGAGCCAGTAGTGTGTGGCAGCAGCCAAAAAAGATAATACAATCATTGGTTGTATAAACATAGGCATAGAATCAAAATCACATGAAGTATTAATATCGCCTTATAAATCCTTAGTAAGACCACATCTGGAAAACTGCATCCAGTTTTGGTCACCGCATTACAAAAAAGATGTTGAGACTTCGGAAAATGTCCAAAGATGATTAAGGACCTGGAGACAAAACATATGAGGAATGGTTGCAGGCATTGGTATAGCCAGTCTAAGGAAAGAAGGACTAGGGGTGACATCACAGTATGCCAGCATTTGAAGGGCTGCCACAAAGAAAAGGGGGATTAATTTATTTTCCAAAGCAACCTGGAATTAAGGAGAAACATCCTAATGGACAATTAATACTGGCACTGGGAGGTGAAATGGATCGTCAGCAGAGCTAGCTCAGATTTCAAAACATAGCTGTATGCTGGCAGGCAGGGGAAACGGCCCTTTGCTAGTGAATTAAGCTTTGGAAAGCACAAAGTTTTTTTTTTTTTCAAGGCAATCTGATCGTGCTACTGAGCTGTGCCAACAACCGACTTCCCCTCCCTGCACCGGCAGAGCTAGCTCAGATTTCAAAACGCAGAGATATGCTGTCAGAAAAGGGAAATGACTTTTTCTGCTAGTGAATTAAGGGTCTTTTTCAAGGCAAGATGATGATTGTGCTGTTCAGCTGCTTCGTTGCTTTGCTAGGCTACACAGGTAGCTGGGTCAAAAAAAGGGGCCATTTGTGGAATTCTGCCACATGGTGCAACAACCGAGCAATCTGTTCTCCTTCCCTTCTCCATCTGTTGAACTTTGGAGATCTTCCAAGGTAAGTGAGTGGGTTGGGCGAGGATTGTATAGAATCTGGTGGGGGCCAAAGGAGGCTCAATGCTCTTGGGGCCCAGCAGGACAGGATGGGACAGAGGGAATACATGGACATACTTGCAGCATCTCTCTAGTTGTAAGGGTGAATAACCAGGTGGTTTCTGCAGAAGACGTAACTTTGAAACAGGGTCATAAGTAATTTTGAACAATCTGTTTGTAGCTTTGAACAATCGTTCAAAGACCTGTCGTAACTTGAGGATTACCTATACTCAAATTGGTTAATTCTTTCCTGAAATTTATTATTCCAATACATAATCATCATCATACTTTTTGTTGTTTACCCCCACAGATCTATGTGAGGAAGCAGTAGGCATAAGCCCCTCATATTTATACAGAATACTGTGTTGTAAAAGTTGCAAAATTCATCACCAATTCGCGTTTTCCCATGCATGGCAAGTTGGCTGCAGAGAGTGGGCTGTGGCGAGTTATCCTTAAACCCACCTCAAAACTGACTTCACAGTCAACAACATGCATATGACCTCATCAACAATGGAAGGTTTTCATGTCACCGAAAATCAGGTTTCTGGTTTACCCATGAATGAACCAGAAGGTAAACAGCTCAATCTGTGCTCTGGTTTCTCTTGCAAGCAGTACAGGTAAACGGACTATTGCAATGAGATCTACATGGGCTACCCTTGAAGAGCATTCAGAAGCTTCAACTGGTGCAGACTGTGGCAGCATGGGCAATTCTTGGACTCATATTACACCAATGCTCTATGAGCCACAATGGCTGCTGGTCTGCTTCCAGGTGCAATAAAATAATATTTTATGTACTGGAATGCCCATTAATATTGGCTAGGATGACAGATAAAACTTGTCAGGTAGAGATGGACAGATAAAACTTGTCAGGTAGAGATAGATAGATAGATAGATAGATAGATAGATAGATAGATAGATAGATGATAGATAGATAGATAGATAGATGATAGATACAGATGAGATGGTAGATAATAGAGAGAGGAGAGAGAGAGGAGAGAGATGGTGGATAGATGGTAAATAGATATAGATGAGAGATTAGAGAGAGAGAGATGATAGATATAAATGAGAGAGGTGGTGGATGGATGGATGGATGGATGGATGGATGGAAGGATGGAAGGATGGACAGATGACAAGAGAGAGAGAGAGATGACAGATGGATGGATGATAGGAAAATTCTGAGCCATTTTGCTTAAACTGCTGACTACAAAATATAAAGCAGAGCAATGCCTTGGACTCCTCCTTTGACAGTGTTATTGCTTGAAGTATATCTGACATCTAAAATCAGGTTTTGGCTGTTGCAACAAAGCCTCACATCCAGGTTTGTCGACAGAACAAAGTATATTTGTACTTAACCAATCTATCTAATCCTTAATCATCTTCACTGCTTTACAATCTGCTGCAATTTCTTCCCACTCCCAAGATATTTTTCTTAAAAGTATTAGAAGACTATATAAGTCAACTGTTACACAGCACTCTGCTTCCTCTCCTATAAAGTTAAGTACAAGTACTCCTTGATATAAGACCATAATGGAGCTTACATACAGTTATGTTATGACTCCCCTTCAAATTCAAG